TAACACAGTGGCTAGAAATATTCTGGGAGGAAACAACAGAGCATAGTTACGGTTTTATCAGTAGGAATTTGGAGGTATGCAGTCTCTTGAACTGAAGGTCACTGTGGTTGATAGCTACTGCTGGATCTTTGTTCCTAAAGCAATAGCTATTTAAGTGCAGTGGATTGCAAAGTTCAATGCAGAACCCATGCAGAAGTCTGAAATAAGGACAGTTAAGCTCTGTTGCCTAACTTGGAAGTTTGCCTGACTGCCTGGGAAATGTACATCGTACGTTCTTATGTATCTTGACTATCAGAAATGTATAAATCTTTTAGGAATCTAAAAAGGGCATGAAACTTGAACCTAATCATTCTTTGCCTATTGAACTGGTAAGTAGCTGTACGTAAGAAGCTTGGCTTTCAACCATGTAGCTATTGTGCATTTTTTATTTGATTGTTTTAACTGAAACGCAAACCCATAAACCATGTGTCTGAATGGGGTTACTGCTTACATGAGATACACGTCCCTTACTAGTTTTTGTCCTATCTTGTTCTTGTAAGAAACATTTTTCTAATCCGAAGATTAAACGCTTAATGTGAAATGATGGAATGTGACTGTTAAATGGTGGAATGTGACATCTCTGTAAATGCAGACTAGTATGTACTAATATGGGCTTAGAGACAGGTCACTGACAGCTTCAAACCCTGCCCTGCGTAGGCATCTGGATCACTAAATGCAAAAGTGAGCTGGAGCAGAATAGTGCTGAATACAGCCTGGCAGAAGCATCCAAGCATAAATCTTGGTAAGAGAAGGGGTAGGAGGAAAATGGTAGCTGAGCACTCAGTTAATATATTACTGACCACAGTTAAAGAAACCATCTGGCGATGGCCCTGTATCACCCATGGCACTTCCCCTTGCACTTTATTGCTTACTTTTACTAGTAGAGAGCTCACTGCAAAATGAAATGGATGAGCAAATCTTAAATCCAAAGCTGAGACACCTAAGTGGTGCAACAGGCCAAAGCTGGAATGCGTAGAATGCATTCATGAGTGGACATGTGAAACTCAAGTAGCGTTCGAGTAAATGTTGACCGTCTTGCCTTTAAGATCCTTAAACAGACGAATATGTACTTCCCATTGTCATGCTACTTTACAGTACAGTTTGTAACTGGAAACACCAGCACAAAGAACAATGGTCATGACTTTCCTTTGGACGGTGATTGTAATAAATTCACAGTTCCAACCACCAGACTTGCATCTCCTCAGACTACCTTTGTACGATGGAGGTGAATACCACTGCCAATAGAAGGCAGTTGCCTTCCATACGTTGACTGTTCCCTTTCTCTCCTCTGGGTATCTGTTGAGAGAACGGACTGGAGAAGGCAGTACAATGCCAGATTTCCCCTTCTGTACCAATACAGATATTTGTACCATGACCCAGAGAAGTATCTTGTATATGCATGGCTATTGCTATCCTGAACATAGGAATGGCTTGAATAAGGACCTGACTCCTGACATGGTACTGCTGTACAAGGCTAATACAGAGAGACTGAGTAGCTAGGTCTATTAGCTAGTGGAAAGAAAACTTAAGATTTCTCTCTTGCTGAGGATGCTGTCAGAGCTGAATAAGGAACAACAAAATAAACCTGCTGAAACAATTTTTTGTTCCTCAGGAGATGCTATAAAATGGTAAAACCTTAAAAAGTAAAGGTTTGGAAAAGGAATGCTGCTTGTCTCTCTTCAGGGGTCCTATTTGCCCTGATTTATGTCAGCTGCTGCATAGTAGTACAGCCAAACCCTTGGATAAATGTAATGAATTCTAACTCTTTGGACTCCAGTGGTGCAGGAATGATTAAGTAATACTAGCATGCAACATACTAAGAAACATTTTTGATCTGTCTTGAGCTGTAAATGCTGAAGCATGGAAAAGCAGTATTAAATCCTTTAGATTCTGCAAAGCATGTCTTAAGTAGTCAGAATTAATGCTGCACTAAAAACTGAGGAACCAAGACATACAAGTATCCCACAGGAGATTTGTAACTGTTGCAGGGGGAATATCTTATTGTTGGATTAATTATTAATCTCACTTTCCCACATTCCACGAATGGTTGCCTCTGAACAATGGCCACTTTGCTGTTTAGTAGCCTCTCCTTGTAAGATTTACTGGGTCATTCTGCAGAACAACTGAACTGAACCCCGTGTTCAAGCTCTTAAAGCCAGTGGAATGGCAGAGCTTTCTTTAAGAGTCTTTCAGCAGAATGCACGGGCTGTTGACTTTTTCCTTTAGGCTAATCCCAGATCATTAGGGCTTGGGCCACCCTGTAAAGTGGCATTCTTTGTCACCCAGGGAATGATGTATTTGCATGGGTGCCCTTTCTTGCAAGGCAGCAGCTTCACTATGACAAGTATTTATTTATTTATTAAAGCATTTTTATGCCGCCCCATTCGCCGAAGCCTCGGGGCGGCTTACAACAAGTACCAACATCACGGAAGGGGCTACAGCTGCCATCCATGAGCTGCTGTCCCTCTTGTTGCTGGCTAGCTGGCTTGTGGATTGCACTTGAGAATGAGTGTTTAGAAAGCAGATTCCTATATTACACCAATAGTACACCAAGAAGATCGGTGAGATAAAGATGCGGCACACATATGCTAGGATTTCTGGCTTTAAATTAGTATACCATGCCATTTTCCACTTTAGCTTTGGAAGACATAAACTGAGCAATGTATTCTTCTTGAAATGAAAGACCTGTGAAGGGCAACACCGCATGCAAAATATAGCCCCTTTAATTCATGTTAACATGTTCAGAGAAGAGGAGAAACAGTAGTACGGAGCAGCTGTCCCCAACTTGGTATCCTTCAGATGTGCGGTATTGTCTGGCAAAAGGTGGGAGTTGAACTTCAACACATCTGGAGTGTGTACCAGGTTAGGAGTGTACCTTAGGAAAGTGCTAGGAACTGAGACAAACATACAGCATGCGTTTTCACTCAGAAAACCAGTCAAAACTAATCACCTGACGCCTTCTGTGTGCATAGCATCCAGAACTGGGTATGCTTGCAATGTTCAGTGGGATGCCAGTGACTCAGCTGAGCAGTAAAGAATACTGGTATCCTTTACAGAGTTAAGCAAAATTAGATCTTTTTAAATAGTCACAATTTTTATGATTCATTTTAATGTAAAGTGAAATGAATAAAGCTCTTAACTGCAGTGAAACTATAAAACGAGTGTCCTCCTGGGGTCCTTAGATGACCCAACCCATTCCCCATTCACTGGTAATTGGGCATGTTCTCCGCTTCAGTGATGTTTACCCCCATTTTAAAAGGTTGAAATATCTCTTAAGACTTACTGGCAGCAAGAGCTTTAAGCTTTAAAATGCTAGTATTTTTGTTTGCATTCCTTTGGCTTTGGGGCCTGTTTTAACCTCCCAACAGCCAAAGTTCTCTGGGCAGTTCACAATAACATATTTTAACAATATTCAATTAAGCATATGAAAACATAAAGTTGGCAGTACAAAATTTCAAACCAAATAAAAAAAAACATATGTTAAAGACCCAGTTAGACCTTGTGTAACACCAGCAGCCCCCAGTAGCTAGTTACATTCCTTGTAGAGGATGATTTTTACCTGTTGCCCAAAAGCTAGTAAGGTTGCACCAGGCAGGCCTCAGTGGGGAGCTCATTCCATAATTGGGGGACTACCACTGAAAAGGCATTTCTCCTGGCTACCTTCAACCTAGCATCCCTCAAAGGTGACCATCAGAGAAAGGCCCCAAAACTTGATCACAGTGTCTGGGTAGATAAAGGTTGGGAGAGAAGGTCTGTCAGGTATCATGGTCCTAAGTCATGTAGGGCTTTATAGGTCAAAACCAGCACCCTAAATTGGGCTTGGAAGCCTATAGGCAGCCAGTGAAAGTGGGCCAGAATTGGTTTTATATGATCAAAATGTCTGATTCATGTTATTTCTTTAAAAATTAAGTATCCCACCCTTTACAGTGTATCAGGGTGACAAAAACATAAACAAGACACAGCATCACAATACTATATAAAATCAATACTAACTTTAAAAATGCAGGGAAAATGAAAAGGTTTATTAATCTGGATGTCATATTTTGCACAAGCTACTGCTTCTGGACAGTCTTCAAGGGCAGCCCACGTAGAATGCACTGGGGGCAGTCTAGCTTACAGAATACCAGAGCATTGATCACTGATAGCAAGCTATCTCTATCCGGATAGGGACATAGCTGAGCTACCAGCTGGAGCTGGTAGAAGGCATTCTGAGCCAGTGAAGCTACCTGGGCTTGAGGTGGTGAAGATGGCTCAAAGCACCCTCAAGCTACTAACTTGCTCCTTTGCAGGGAGTGTAACCCCATCTAGAACAGGTTGGATTCCATCCATCTGGTCAGAAGAGCTGCTCACCAACATCTCAAGCTTGCCTGGATTGAGCTGCATGTTTCTTAGCCCTCATCCAGTACATTGCCGCAGCTGGACACTAGTTCAGCACATCCACAGCCTCACCTCTGAAGATGAAAAGGAGAGAGCAAACTGTGTCATCAGCATACTGATGGTAACGCACAAACTCCAAGCAGACATTTGGAGCACTAAGGTTTCCCCAAACCTATTGTAAAACAGAGCAGGAGAAAGCTTAACGAATTGTCCGTGCCATTGCTGGCAGAGTGTACAGCAGCTGCCACTCCTGGGGGGGGGGGGGGGGAATCCCTGAAAGCCTCTAGGCTGAGGGTGTAACCCAAGCTTTTGTGGGCTGCAGGCTCCCCACCCTGATCTGTGGAAAGCTGCTGTATTGACAGTTCGTGTCCTTGAAAGAACCATACAGGCTTTGCAGTTCAAGATGCGTCAGACAAACACTTGGGGTTCCAAACTGATGGGAGTAGAAGGGGGCGGGGAGACCATGCTAAAGACAACTCTATCTTCTTTAAGAAAACTCTTAAAGAGACTCTTTAAGATAGTGACTGTGATTCACTTTTGCCTTCACCTTATTGCTAACTGCTGGCATCTGTTGTGCAGGGGCAGAATGCCAAACTGGGGAGGCGGCAACAAGTGTGGTTCCTGCGGCAGGACTGTGTACCATGCAGAAGAGGTTCAGTGTGATGGAAGAAGCTTTCACAGATGCTGCTTTCTTTGTAGTAAGTACTCCTGTAGTTCTTCTTGGTGATGTGCCAGTGGTAGAATAGTGCAGCGACTTAGCTCTACAGGCAGCTATTTTATGGTCACAAAGAACAAGAGTTCTGAATGCCATGTGATACCAAACTGTCTTTTGCAAATTTGAGTTCTTGGATTGGATTATTCATTTCAGTGGATCTGTTCTAATGTGGGCTAAAATGGAACGCTACCCCTTATATACCCAGATTCATGAGGACCGTATCCTTAGCAGATGAGAGTAGTTTGTTTCCTCAGTGTTTTAAGACACTGCTGCATGCCGACAGGAGGTGGACCTACTGGTGCCTTATGTGACTGAGCTTAATAACCATTAAAGGTGCACTGGTTTTTCCTTGGAAGGGACTTTGGAAGAATTGAACCAGCATTGTGCCATATTAAGAATGTTAGAAGATCATGGTAAGATGGGATTCTGTAGCTAAGATCTGGTGCCATTTCAGAAAATGACACATTAGGAGCATGACTTATGCATGCTTAGCCAGAAAAAGTCTTACAATCTAGCATTCCCCAGCAGGGGCTTTTCTGTCTAAACATGCATAGGATTGTATCCTAGCTTAGCCCTCCATTTCTTGGTGCCTTCTGGATATGTTGAACTATAATACCCAGCATCCACAGTTGCAGTCTAATACTTCTAGAAGGCAACATGGGGCAAACTGTCTTTGGTTCCTGCCTTAGTCCATGCAAGGTCATGTTAGACAAAGGATTTTGCTCATTAGTTGGCTCTAATCTGAAGTTATTTTCTAAAATTATATGTGCCTGCAAAATAGAAAAATCAGTCTATTAAAATGCTAGTCTTCCCGCTGTAAATTTGTTCCAAAGTTTGCAGTTTAAATATTGTGTGAGAGATTATTCACTAGTTGGACTCTGTTCCTTGCTCATACCAAATAAGTTAATTAAATGATGTGGTTGATTTTCTGTTTCAGCTTAGCAGAGCCAAAATTCTGCTGGGCTTTGGCACACTGGACTCCAGATTGTTGTTAATGAGCAAAGCCCATGTGATTAGGTTTCAGCCTAGCAATTTATTGAAGCATTGAGTTCTTGTCCTAAAAGGTTCTTCATTATAAAATGTGAAACAAAGGAGTATCTCAGATAATTGCCTAGTAATGCAATTGCTATAAACAGTACTATTGTGATACAAAAAAGCATATAGTAGTTCACTTAAGCTCATATGAAGTGGATTGGCAAGTGACTGGAGGTTACACTAGATTCTCGGCACTCTGCAGCGAGATTAAGATTCTCTACATTGGCTACAATTACTGTACTGTAGGAGAAGCTGGAGGAGTTGCTAATAACTAACAGACATCATGCTAGCAAGAAAATCTGAGATAAACAGTAACACCTGAGTAGGAATCTCAAACTTTTTGTATTTATTTAATATTTCTAACAAGACTGAGAGCCTGTAAAATAAAAGGAATGGTGAAAGAATATGTAATTCCAACTGCCTTTTTGTAAAGGTGAGATTAAGGTAAAGAGTGTCCTGAAAAGTAAGTTCTAGTAAGTTTGAGGCCTGATTAACTTTTTTTCTTGGAAACTAAACAGTATCTTATAAGAGAAACATGAAAAATATTAGTGCAGCTAATGCAATGCAAGATTAAAGGAATTGCAACTGCAGTGTGGCACTATTCACTTTAAAATTCAAGTCCCTCAAAAAATCCACCAGTTCCGCAGTGCAACTTTTCTGCTGCTGCAATAGCCAAACTAGATCTGAAGATGGATGTGGAGTTTTGCAAATAGCAGCTGAACAGGGGTTTTGTTTGAGGGAGGAAATGACTGGAGCCACAACCCTCCTATCCACTCCCTTACCCCATGCTGTTGGCAAAATTTGAATACATTTGCATTGATTGTTAGATCTGGCTTGGTCCTCATGCAAATACTTAAACTCAAACTTTTGCACTTCGGATTGTGAGTGGGTCTAATTTTTTCAGGTAAGGCTTTTGATGTACAGTCATGCATATCCTGAAGTTCTGGTTTCTGATTATACACTCAAAACAATGCTGCATTAGCCACGCTGTCTTTCAGTGATGTGAATTTAAGCAGATTATCCTGAAAAAAGTATTATCATTGTATAATTGTATGCACAGAGAGCACCATGGAGTCTGGTGTCCTTAAGTGCTCATATAAAACTGTCTGGATTTTCTCAGACTTTCTGGCCTTATTCTCAGACAACTGTTGCATAATTAAACATGTTTGCACTAATATAGATGCTTATTCTGTGTGATTTCAAATGCAGGGGTAAAAATTGCTGACTTCAGTTCCTGGCTTCTTTACAGCCGTGCTAATTAATCTACATCAAGCTTTTATTCTGTAAACGTCAGTCATGAAAGGGGATTCGTGCTGAATAAGTCCCTTCTTAGAACAAAATATAATTCAGGGATTGAAAAGAAATAGTCCCCATTTCTATTTTCAAATAGTCCCACATAGTTTACTGACCTGCCACAGCAAAGAGATTAAAAAAATCATCTATAAAGGAGTGCTACTTTTAAAGGGGCAATGTTTTTCTCCAGTGGTCTGCCGGAAGAATTTAGACAGTACAACAGTAGCCATCCATGATGAAGAGGTGTACTGCAAGTCTTGTTATGGAAAGAAGTATGGTCCAAAAGGATATGGGTATGGCCAAGGAGCAGGCACGCTCAACATGGACAGAGGTGAAAGGCTGGGAATCAAGCGTGACAAGTAAGTGCAGCACTTGTTCACTTCTAGCTTCTTCTCACTTCACTCGTCACTTCAGTTCGAGGCTGTTCAGGGAAGCCACATTTTAAGAAATAAGTTATCGCTGTTTTCCTTTGCTGGTGGTAGTGATTGCACCTTTTAGGAAAGTTTCAGAAGTTACTGATTGAAGCAGCGCAGTAGAACCCAGCTAATGCAGGAGTAGACTCTACCTCTTAATCATATTAAACATAATCCTATACACTTTTAGTCAAGGGGGGGGACCTTTAACACTTTAATGCCCCAACATTAAATGTGGTGTGATGCTAATGGGTTCTCAAACACATTCAGTGAATAAAGTTGGATTGGGCAACGTAATGGTTCATTTCAGAGACAACATCAAGCCATTGCCTGTATGAGAATGCACTTGACTACGCTTCCTCTTCCTTTCATGCACTAGGCTTCAATTACTTCCCTTGCATCCAGGCCTGCATGTTTTGGCATATGCAGCTGTGGCATCTGCTTAGCAAGCTATGGCACCGAGGAGGCAAATAAGCTTGGCACTATGCATGAGAAATTCAGTGTATGGTAAACTGTGCAGTCTCTTCTATTCAGAGGTTTCATCTGGTCTTCCATCTCTGAGTTTGTAATTGTCAAGGCTGTAACAAATGTAAAATCCAAAGGTTACGTAAAGCAGGTAACGTTACCTTAGAACTCATTGGCCATAGCAGGACTTCAGGCTGCTTTCACTGATGTGAATTCTCAGCTGCGGAGGGTACCTCAAACTTCTTAAAAAGGATTTGCTGGGAATGCTGTTGCCAACTTTATTATAGCAAGCCAGAATTTCAGCTATGGACAAGGTTGCATTCATGACTCTCTAACACTTGGCATGTCAAGTTCCACTAAAATTTAGAACTGTCCTAACAAGAATCTTGCTTAAATGAGTACATTTATAGCAGTGGAAATTTGTAGTCTTCACTGTTACTGAAGGTAGTCTTACAAAAAGGCAGGTACAGGCTCAATGAGGCAGCAGAACAAGCTTGGCTATAGCTGCTATGCAGCTTAACCAATGGTCTCAACCAAGAGCTACTATCCCAGCACAGCAAAATGCACAAGACTGAGGATTGTCACAAGGCATATAGCTAGTAATCTTGCACCATCTCTTGCCTAGCAGGAGCAGGCAAAAACATTGCTAACACCCTAGAGAGAATGTGGTAAGAATGAATGGCAGATAGGTCAGACATGACTTTGACTTGGGGCATAGTACAGGCCAGCTCTGAATTGGATTCGGGTGCAGGACTTTTAAGGGGACTGAAGAAAAGTGCCATGAACACTCAGATTGTAAGCAAGTGCTGCTAGGCATTTGCATGGTACATGGCAGGATGTTGCTACAGTTAAGGGTACTTGGCAAGGCTGTCATTGGATAATGAAAGCTAAAGCTAGGTAACATCAAAATGCAGTAAGCAACCACTATATGGGATGAATTCACTTAAATGAATTTGCAACATTCCAAGATAAGAGGCTCAATTAGCAGCCACCCTAACTTCTCAGATGAAATGGTCTCTTGGGAGCAGGAGAAAGAATGAGTTAGTAAAGGAAGGCTTCAACTCAATTGGGATCTGCACTAAAGTTCACTTAGGAAGCCTGGTTTTCTTAGAACCCACTTAGAAAATATTCACTTTTAGGGAACAGGAGCTTCTGATCTTCAGAGGCAAGGCCAGCAAGGGGAATCCTCTTGTATCATGAGTACCTGTCCTGCAGTGTTACAGCTTAATGATATTAGCAGGTTGCCAGTGAGTCTAAATGTGTTCACTAACTATTTGGTCTTCTGGAAGGACTCCCTGGAGAAGAGCCTAATGCTGGGAACAGTTGATTGCAGAAGAAGAAGGGGATGGCAGAGGATGAGGCGGCTAGATGGAGTCACTGAAGCAGTTGGTGTGAGCTTAAGTGGACTCGGGGAAGGTGGAGGACAGGAAGGCCTGGAGGAATGTTGTCCATGGGGTCGCGGTGGGTCGGACACGACTTCGCGACTAACAACAACAATACTGAAATAATTAGGTGAAAGGGATTGAGTTACTGGCAGCTTGCCTCAAACCTAGTGGATGTTATGGTTATGGCCAATGTAATTGAACATTCATATTAGGACTCACCCCTTTATTTTAGTGTACCTTCTCATCGACCAACAACAAGTCCAAATACTTCAAAATTTGCCCAGAAATTTGGAGGAGCAGAGAAATGTTCTAGATGTGGCGATTCTGTGTATGCAGCTGAGAAAGTAATAGGAGCTGGAAAGGTAAGGTGCTGTATTGTTGCAACACGGACCTTCCTTGGGTAAATTAATTGTAGGTTAAAATCTTGACTTGTTAAGAGTAGAGTAAAAGGTGTTTTCCCTTACTAGAGGATTTGAGAAGGAAGAAATATGTAGTCTGGAAATGGTGGCTAGTTAAATCCAATTTCTAAAATATATTTGTATCTGAAAGAATTTTGGTAATGGACAAACCTAATGTGAAAAACAAGGTGACTCTGAAGATAAAATACATGTATTGCTTATTAAAAACAGCAGCCCATTTTTGAATGGTGCAATCCATGAGGCTTGGAAGTATACTAAGTTCAACTTGCTTGCTTTCTAGCCTTGGCACAAAAACTGTTTTCGATGTGCTAAGTGTGGAAAAAGCCTTGAATCAACAACTCTGACAGAGAAGGAGGGTGAAATCTATTGCAAAGGTAAGGTCAATGCAAAGCACACTGGTGAACTGTTCTAATGTGGGCTGTGGGTTTTATTCTAGAAGGGCTTAGGTCTGGGAAGGAGAGGGTGGCCAATACCCTAAAGACCCAGTTCAACTGATATGCTGAAAATGTTTGAAAAAATATTTGTATGGGAGTTAGTGAAATTAACATGTTTTCAACTAATCAGCAGTTGAATTAGCAACAGTTTAGCTGGTCATTGGTGGACAGTTAAGTTGCACTAGTTATGTACAGGAGGTCCTACTTTCAGAAGCTTCCTATGGAGAAAAAGCAGAATTTTAGCTCATGATGGAAACTCATATTGACAAACATAGAATGTGCTGTAACGTGTTCAGTTTAGTACTTGACTTGACATAAAACTAACAAAATACGGAGCTGAACTAATCGCTGACTCTTTATTCTTGCAGGTTGTTATGCAAAGAACTTTGGTCCCAAAGGATTTGGTTATGGCCAGGGAGCTGGTGCTCTTGTTCATGCCCAATGAATCATTGATACCATTGCACTGGAATGGTTCTATAGTTACAAGATACAACTTAAAAGCTACTAATCACTGTGAAACTGATACTAATACCTGATACTATTGCTTTGTCTTAAAGTGGGGGTGGGGAATACTTAAGGATCTGTATTGGCCTTGTAAATAGCCCATGCAAGCCACATGCTGGCACTGGGTAGTGCATCCACAGAGCTGGTGTCTCAAGGAGGTTCCAGCTTAGTGTATTCCTGGTTTGGGCTGTCATGCAACTTCTGCTATTAGGAAGATGCAAGAGAGGCAAAGCTCTGAGCTGTGCGATCTTGAGTACTCCCCAGAGCTGTGGAACCCAGTCAGGTGCTCCTCTTTTTAACCTCCCCTTCATGACTGAGGTGATGGAGAGGTCCAAGGTAAGGGCATATTCCTGCCAGAATGATTCATGGGCTGGTGATTCCCCACCGTCTTCAACTGTTGTACATTTCTAAGCCTTAAAGCGCATTCTTTCATGCACTGTCAATTGATTTTAATAAAGCTTTGTATTTAGAAGATGGTGTGTTGAAAAGTCTCCAGGGAAAACTGCTCAGTTTTCACTGCTTACTAGCTGCAGCTGTATATTGCTTTCCCTAAGGTATCTGAAGTGCGGTATGAGAGTTCTTGTTGCCCAAACAACAATTTTGTGATGTCATGGGAAAAATTGTGTAACAATCTATTAATCCAGTCTAGCCTGGTATGTTATTGGGGGTTCACAATGTATAAGTCCCAAAACGGGTTTTTTTTGTTTTTTTGTTTCTTTCCCTGGTGAGAGGCACACAACTTCGACAATAGATGTGAGATGCCTAATTTCCTTATAGGGATATAACTTGGTTGCAGCAAAAACTACATCATCATGTGTAGTTGATACATGTATCTATACGAGCAAGTGTGTGTCCAGCAAGAAGATACATGCTTTGCACAGATGTAACTTGAAACACCTTTTTGGCATTAAATGCATCTATCCCAAGATTAAAGAATGAAAACAGTAGCATTTTCTGCTTAATGTTTGGTTCTGGCAGCCTGAGGTGAATTGACTGATTAGCCTAAGAATCTAATTATATGTTGAGAAATTAAATGATATAATTTCTTTCCAAGGCTGTGGGTGTTTTTTAAATCAGATGCTTTCATACATCAGCTGCACACCTAGGCCAGAATTCCTACACATGCTAATTTTTTGACAGGGGGCATTCAGACAAGATCCAGAATTTATTGCAGTCTAGAGTAATGTAATCGTGGAAGGACTTTAGTATTTTATGTTTCTTTTAAAATTCATTTTTACTTAGTTTCTAAAGGTAGAGTGACTATGTAACTCATGTTGCCAGCACTTCAAGGTACAGTTACAATTTATATAATTCACAATTGTATAGATAGAATCTTCAGTTACACATAGAGGAAGAACTGCAAATTCAAGATTTTAAGATAAAGGAGTCTTTCCAAAATCATGTTGTGTGGAAGGTGGTTTACTAGCATGTGGATGTTATATACAAAATAAAAGGATACCAAATCATCTCAGTGTGCGCTTTATTGCACATATCATTAGTCTAAAGATATCTTTTTGAATGACACTTGCGACATTATTGTAAACCCATTATAGTTTCTTGTTTTCATTGCTACACTACCTCAATTCTGGTAGTAACCAACCATTTAGATGAATTCTTATACATAAAAGTTCTTTATATTACTGCATGCATTGTTAATTATTGGGATCGGTAAGTAATTGTTGGGAGATGCTGCTAGTTTCCAAGATTGGCTGCAGTTCAAACAGATTAGTGTTCTACATTTGTCACACACCCTCTAGCACAATGGGGAGAGGGTGTTACCTGTTTAATGCGGTCTGTCAAGGTACAACCTACATAAGCTTTAATTTGGACTTTCATTTTTACTGAGATTAAATTGAACATTTGATTCATAGTCTCTCAATTATTGTCCGCTGTTCTCATTCCTAGATCAGCCTCCATTCTGCTTTTAGATTGTTAGTGGAGCTTGCTGAAGATGTCATATGTTGTCCTCTAGCCTCACTCTGTTACCATGTGCATAACGCAAACGAGTTATCCTTTCTTTTTGTAGAAATAGGCAGCCAGCAAAAGAACTATCTTTGCAACCAATTTATGTGCTTATTCTGAAAAGTTCTACCTTAGCATCTCTGGCTTGCTCTAATTGAATACATCCTTAAGTCTTTGTAGCTTATGAGTGTTCACAGAGGCAACAATGCCAAGATTACTTCCGATCATATCAAAGAGACAGTTTGTGTATATATAAAGTAATCATGAATTTACTATCTATCTTTAGACCTCCATTCTGGCCATTATAAATCCTGCCTTAGGGGGCTGGGGAAATTGCTATGGCACTGAGCCTAAGACAATGGAAAAAGTTTCTTACCAATCCATGCTCCTGAAAATCCTCTCCAGAAGAGCATTACTCCTCTGAACAAGGTAGAATGGCATGGAAACGGGGGACAGAAAAGGTCAAGTTACTGCAGAATCCATCCCTTACAAGTGTAAGGCTTGTCATGAACATGTGAATGACTGGTGTACATTGCAGGAAGTCTCCAAAACCTTACTACCTGATCATGAAGAGCTTGAAGTGTTAATACACAACTCTTATGGGGCAAAATTATGATTGTCTATCAGCCATTTAGAAAGCATGCAGCTCTGAAGATGGACTGCCATGACCATCGCACTATATACTTGGCTATCTTCACTCATTGCCTGTCCAGTCGATCATCCTGCAGGTGGTGGCTGTGGATAAGGCAGTTCAAGCAACAATGGCTAAAAAGTCTATAGAAAATATTTTTACTTAAAATGCTCTCCATAGGTTACAGCAGCACAAACACTGGCACATGTACACCCAGTCTACAAACCCCTCAAAACTAATTTTCTTTCAGCCTTACTCTGTTAACACTGAGCCCTTGAAGCCACCTTGTTCTAGCCATTCCTTGCTCCCAGATAAAGAGATCCTGCAGTGTTCCATGTTGTTATTCTGTATGGTATTTGCACTGAAGCAACCAAATTCAAGGACAACTTTTTGTTTGTGGCAATTCATCTTTGGATTGATAGCCTTTTCCTGTCTTGCTGTTCCTTTGTAGGACACATTAGAGGCTTATAAACTCATGGAAAATTATTGGCAATATTCTTATAGTATAATCTTGGGTAATATGCATTTTATTTGCCACAAAGCTGCTGTATAGCTCTGGTTAATCACTGGAGTTTTCCCGGTCTGCTTATGTAAATCATGTAGATCATTCTGAACTGAACTGTGTTCCAAGTCTGTGGGGCATGATGTCATTAAATTACAGATGAAACAGATGTAGGAAGTATGCATGTCTCGGCAATAAATGGTTTGCCTGCCAACTAAATAACAGTATTTCTCCTTTCAAAGTCAGTTTGGTGAACAGAATTATTACAAGGAACCCTAAATCAGGGTGTTGTTATTCAGTTCAGTGGAGGTCTTTTATTGCAATTAAGAAACAAGCTAGGTGAACATAAATTTGGCATTTTAACAGTTCTAAACGCTATAAAGTTTTGTGATAATCATATGACTAGACTCAAATTCACAATGTCTTGCAGTTCTTACAACTGAAATCAAATTTTAAAAGGCCTGAACACTGTATCAGGTACAAGCTGAAATTAACCATAATTAGTCCCTCATAAAATCATAATCCCTAAATGTTTTCATAGTGGTCTGTTCTAAGCATGCTCCCCTTTGTGGTGCAGAAGCGACTTTTAACAATGAGATTGCAAATGTAATTCCAAAAAGCAGTCCTTAAGTTTTTTTACACATGGCCAGATAGTACCAATAGGTACATCAGTAATATACCTTTGATCATTATAAAATTAGCTATATTCTTAGAAGCCCATAAGTGCTGAAATTATCTGTTACCTGTAAATTTCTAGTAGATCATGAACAAGAAGGAAGTGAAGCCCTTCTGAAACAAGTAAATATGCAGTCTGATTTCCTTTCCCTTGATAGCGCCTTCAGACTCATTCCTGTCAGTTCCTAGCATCCTTTCTTTTTTACTAGAGTGAAAGACATGCTGCAAAGTACCAGTTGAAACCGCAGCTATCCATCACCTTCATTTCTCCAACAGGCCACTGGGTTGCACCTCATTCTTATTAGGCAAAGATGTCAGATGTGTGTAGCCTTGGCTGGTACCACTTCATGGTACACCACACTAGTAAAAATGTAAACCAAAAATGACCCCCCTGCCTGTCAGACTTACTGGTTTGGGAACTGAAGGGACTTTGCCCAGAGCACTTTCAAATCTTGCCAACAAACCTGGGGAGAACCCAAGCCCAGCAGCTGCACCAGCAAAGTTGTCTGCCCTCAACAATATCTTTTTCCTTAGGCTTTCAGGCCAGGAAATAATCTGAGGTAAAATTCAAATAATGTTGGATCACCTCAAATACAAGCCATTCCAGAAACCTACTGCTTGCAGGCCAGACAAAGCTGGTTGAGAAGCCAAGGGGAAGGCCTTCCTACTTGTGTTATTTTTGCTGGAAGTCCTGACAACCAAGAGAAGGTTATTGCCAAACTAAAGACTGCCACAGCCTGGTACAGATCTGTTCCTTGAGATATGGGTGCAGTATTCACTTGCTTGTCACCACATGTACATTCATTTTTTAGTACAACTCACTCTTATTTGGGTTATGTAATTCACGCAAAACCAAAAATGTGCATGTGTGCGGATTGCTAAGTTTCAGAAAGCATATGGAAAAAGAAGCCCATAAGCTAGAAGCTGTTACAACGAATATTAAATTATTCCTTCAATACACTAAAGTATAGGGACACACTTCCCTACAAGCAGATACAATGTTCCGTGGAATTTTACTGCTCCAATACTAATGCCAAGGTGTCTTTCATACAAACCACTTAAGTCAGAGGCATGTTAAGCACACCATAAGAGCCCTGCTGGATCAGAGCAAGGGCCTATCCAGTCAAGCATCTGTTTACAGTGGCCAACCAGCTGTCCATGGAATCCCGCAAGCAGGCCATGCATGCAACAGCACCCTCCCTCCATCTTCCCCAGCAACTGGTGCGCACAGGCATGTTATGAATATTTGAAGTGAGCACTAGCATGTGGTGAACTCCTAGAAAATGGACTTGCTTCTTGGACCCTATGCAATTGTCTGCAAAGCACTAAAAGGCTCCTATCCCAACTAGGATAATGTGAAGATGCAGGTTGTATGAATCAGTGCCTTTATGCCAGGTCTTTTCAATATGCCCAGCCATGCAGCCATTTTCAGGCAGCTGTGATCATCCAAGTTGCAGCAGCTGTTTCCACCCCCTCATGCGGAGGTGTTCATTCCCACACAATTCTAGTTATATTGGAAAAGGCCCAACACACTCAAGCAGGATCAGAGAAGCCTTTGAAAGTGGCTTTGTTGACACATACGGAATCCAGAAGTGCTTTGGAATACATTTGGAGAAGTGAATTCATAATGGAGATGGAAAGAATTATACCACTCTATTTACCAAGACACATATAAGCCATATTACTGCATGCTCCAGAGAGTATTTGGATGCAGGCATTTAGTAATGTCCACTGCTTTTTATCGCAAGACAGACTCTTTACAAGAATGACTATTAAACCCTTCCTACATCTTGGACATCAAGAAAGCTGAGACGGAATGAATGAATATGTGTCTGTGTGAGTAGATGGGCAGGAACTCAACCACAAGGTTCTCTTGGGATCACTGCAAGTGCAACTTGTTCCCAGTCCTGCTCCTGGCACTTGCAAATAAAAGCAGATCTATTTGGCTAGTCAGGGAAGAACCAAAGCCTGATGTCCATTTACTAAGGCAAGATGACAAATTAGATCCTGGGAACAAGTGGGAAGGACATCTTAAAATGGCCCCATTCTTACATTAAAAGCCCCATTCTTACTTCTTAATGAGAGTGCTCCTGTGCTTTGGGACACTGAACAGTGATTAGGGTGAATGAGCAAAATAACTGCAGAAGTTAAGACAAACACTAGCATCTAGGAGACAAGTATTTATTTGATTAATAACTTACAAAATTGACAGGTTTAATTTATGTAAGGAGAGCTATTTTATTAAACATTTTACTGATTTTGTTCACAATGTAATACATCAATAACTTGACAGTAGTAAAATAATACTTGGCACAATTATAAATAAGATAAAATAAAAATAAAAATACTCTGTTTAAAACAGTGATGCGCTTTTATGCATATTAACTGTTAAAAACAAAAGCTTGATTGGAGGGGGTACTGGGAAACCTAAAACCTGCAAAAAAAGTTTATCTAGGGCAGGTACAATTTTTTTATTTACTTCTTCTGTATCAGAATAATGATGGTTGAACTTCTAATCTATTTGGATTGGTTGCATACAGCCATACAGTGTGCTGTGTTGTGCTGCGATACATTTAGGAGAATTCTTCGCAGAAAAAAAGAATGCTGCATAGATTTTGCCCACCCCATTCCAATTTCAGAATATACATCTTAGTATTTCTGACATTAGAAGTATTCTACATGCCTCAAATATAGAACTTTCCTCTGGATGATTTTAACTTCACTATGCTATTTTCTCTTCGCCAGTTTTGCAGTGTGCATTCAAACAAAATTTACACCACGTCTTTTGGCTCAACTGAAGATTTACTTTTTGTTATCAAGGACACAATTTACAATTATTTGCACAAAGACTCCATATGATATACATTACTGGAAATAATGCAAATGCATGTGACACAGATTTTTCTGAGCTATGAAATGTATTTATAAAAAAAATTAACATCAAATAAGCCCATCAAATCAGGGCATTTAACATCAAATAAGTGTTTCTGCAGAACTACAGTTTCCCCAAAAGGGATTCAACTACACCGAGGCTGCAATACTAAGTAATCCTAAATACCCTTACTAACAAGTAACCCTCACTGAAAAAAGTGGGACTTACTTCTAGGTAAGCCTATTTAGGATTGGGCTGTTAATGTTAAAATAATAAAAGGTGTTGTCCAAACTCCTTCAGCTTCAAAATTAAAATTACAAACAATGGTATAAGAATAATATATTCTTTTTATATTTTTAAATGGTATACGTCAAAGTGGCATAGGCTTTTTGCCTCCACTGCATCCAACTCCATTCTCTTCCCCTCACAGATAGTGTCAAAGATAGGCTTTAATTTTTCCAGTATTTAACATTCTAGACTAATGTTGCCCTTCTGTAAATCCTGATATCTGGTACTTGCAAACTATGCACACCCGTGATCAAAGATACAGCGAGAGGAAAAAATGTCTACTTGCAAATACTGAACATCAACTATTTACAATTTCACTGCTTCTCTTACTAAGGCAAGGGGCGGGAATACCACTAGATTGCTTTAATACCTGTAATCTGCATATTACAGGAAACGCTAGTTTTGCCAAGCATCAAACATGCAGTGAAGTTGCAGGTACAGTGCCTATGAACAGCAAAATTGATCATTATCAAACAGCCCATATTAAATATCTTCCTACATTTTTGGTTGGATAAAATGAAATGAGCAGCTTTCAAATATACTAACACACACACACACACACACACACACGCGCACGCACACACAACAAGAAAAACTATTTGATAAATTATTTATATACAGATACACATTCTTTACACTGGTCTCTATCATCTGTATTAAGGTTCCCCTCCCCAAATCCCCCTCACAGGATTCTTGAACCACTATGTTGCTACAGCACTTAAAAGAGAACGAAACAGATTTCAAGTCTCTCTGTAAACAATAGTTAAGGAAGCAGTGAAGAATTCATAAGAAATATATAAAAATGCCATAACTGAAAATCAGTGCATCACATTCAGCAACAAAAAGCTCTTCAGGAATGCAACTTCACAACCACTCTCCTTACCTTCCAAACAGATCTAGGCTTGATAACTTGAGACAAAGAAAAGTTAAGGGTGTTTTCCCCTTCACCGTCTCACATATTTCACTTTCATGTGCTATAAAGAAATTATAACTTGCTTTTAGTTAAATTCCATCATTTAATGTTTTAAAACCATTAAGCTTTAATCCGTTTTTGCTTCTCCTACCACTGCATCTAATTTAATTACAGTCATATTCTTTCCTCCTAATATTGAGAGTTTGCCTTTTCATCTTTGGTTCTACCTATGTGACTTCTTGTTAAGTTTTCAACTCTCAGACAACCGTAGAATATATCATGCACAATGGTTCACATTATGTAAGTACCGGAATTTTACTGACTGCATATATTACATTTTTTTCTTTACTTTTAGCAGACTATTATGCTATTATTTTATTGTGTGGTCTGATTTTTAAAGTATAATCATGCATTTAAGTGGGGCTTTATACTGGATAGAAGAGCTGTACTTGCTTTGTGGAACTTCCCCCCTCCCCAGAATGTACAACTTCACACAGTTTATTACAATTAATTCATTGTATCAGAAACAAGACAACCCTGACAGCCAACAGCCATTACATTTAGATAACAGTTTTGTGGCCAACATCCTTCTGTGTCCTACTTTAGCAACTTCATAATTGTAGTGGATCCCAAATAAAACCACATGATTTTTCAAGAGTATTTGGTGCACGTTTTTTCAATGCACATAATACTACAGCAAATCTATACAAAAGTTTCTTCACAGTAAATATAATACAGTGACCTCAAAGTTTGACTGCTTTGTAAAATTTGACTTTAATTCCAATGAAATTGTTCAAATCTGGAGTAAATGTTGAACATTAAGCACAGCATGACTTTTAGTATGTTGGTATTTTAACAATCTCAAGCTCCATTGTGAAAGCAGGTAAAAGGAAAAAACGGTGTGAATATGTCTTTGTGAATAACTCCCATGGTAAGAACAGTTAAAATCCCTTTTTCATCTTCTTCTTCATTATCAAGATTGGCAGTTTATTCTGTCCTTTTTCTTTCTTTTTTGTTTACATCCATTAATAAACCCGATGTAGATAAGGTACCATCAGATTCACTGTTAGCTCTATTCATAGCATGCTACTGTTCGAGGGATGTGGATTCAAAAGAAACTAATTTTCAGGCACCACTCAGATATGATATGCTCACAGGCTGGAGCTGGATGTTACACTAGCTGGTAGCCACTTCCCGATGTTTGGTCATACTCTATTGTATACTGCCTGGTCCAGTCCACAATAACAGGGCGAAAAAGACCACAGCATCTGAATTCAAAGAAGTCTATAATATTTCTTATACATCCATGGCTAAAAATAAACAAAAACAACGTTACATAAAGTCATAATGAAGTTTAGTTTAACTAGTTCACATTGATTATGTGGATGATTTCCAGAGACATTAATTATTGTGCTGTTGGTACTAACAACGTAACTGATACCTAGAGGAAAAAATTACTATTGGGGGCTAATGTGGTTTAGTGGCATGTGAACTATCACCCCTGCCCCCCCCCCCATGATTCTAATTTCTTACTAGGTGGTTTAGGTAAGCTACCCTTTCTCATGCTATCCCCTTCTAATGGTGATAATACTACTAAATAGGCTTTCTGGAAGGACTGATGAGACTGAAAAATATGTAACATGCTATCAATGCCAAGTATTATTTGCTAGTAACAGTGAAATCGCTGGTTCTGATGGAACTCACATTACAAAATGAGCAAAGCGGGAAAGTAGGTTATTTTGTTGCTTTGCCTCTCATGGAGCAGCTGTCAAACTGCAAGCTGTCAAGTACAAAGCAAAGCCACAAGGAGATCTTAGTTGTCACTTACCCACTTCCTGTCAAGATCGTCTACTGTTTTTGGTTTGAGCTGACTATCCTTGGTGTCCTTCATCTTTCCCAAGACTCTTGATGCACAGAAAAGTGCAATCCACCCAATTTATGGGAGCATGGAGTTTTGACAGCTGTCAAAATTCAGACTACCTTTTAAAATGGGGGTTTTGACATGGCTAATGGGGGTGTTTTGACAAGGAGATATGCAGGATCTTCCAAAATAAACTCAAAAGGTTTCTTAAGTGGAAAAATTCCAGGCACGGGCAATCATGCACACACAAAGCCAGTGACAATCCAGCCATTGGCAGCCATTGGCTGTCATTTTAGAGATCATGAAAAGCTATTTCCAAGTGGCAAGAAAGGGAGTAATGGCATCCTTAGGAGTCATGGTTGGTACAGGAAGAAAAAACAAGTTTTTCATCAAGCCCCCTGAGATATCCATGGAAAAAATAAAAGGGAAAAAGGCTGCAGGGCGACAACCCACAGTGAGCCCAATCATCTGTCAGGTGCACTGTGGTTTGTTTCACGAACTGTTTATCTTATGTGCAGGCTGGGTAGAATGTCACTCGGATCCATCGGGAGATGGACTCCATGGCTGATGCAATGTCTATGACTGAGGTGTTCAGTGCACCATCTGGTATGAGATTATTAGATGAATATCAGTTGTTGAGGTCAAAGGATGTGGACAAATTACTTAAGACTGGTTTGGCCTACTACCTGTATGCTGGACCCTTGCCCATCTTGGCTAGTCACTCAAGGTAAGGAAGGGGTGTCCCTGGGTCCTAGAGACTGTGAACACCTCAGTAAGAGGGGGAATGGTCCCAGCCACATCTTAAAGTAATATCTTTATTACTTACTTAAATGGACTTTCAATAGATGTTGTCGTAACTTTAAAGTGCTTGTATCGTCTTGCATTCATCCTTTCATTTGTAGTAATTCCTAAACAAGAAATCTAGTGAAAATGAATAAACCAGAATTAGAATCTTTGAAGTTCTACTGTATGAATTCATTCAGAATAAAGGCTCTAAATATTTTGCTTACCACTTGAAAAATGCATTTTCACAAGATAGTTTAGCACTTATGAGAAACAGGTTAAAAGAATGGGATCACTGTTCTGAATTGGCTGTGGTAATATGTCATTTACATCCAAAAGAGCTCTTCAATACATTAGAGTCAAATCGGTAGAAGAGATATAAGTCAAGATCAGATTCATTGTGTAACACAATGAATCAGTAACTATGGGCCTACAAATAAAAATTTAATATATCCTTAAATTAGCCTATGCTATCTGATTGATCAGTAGTATCCTGTACAATCAGTGCAACTCCACTGGATCTCTTGCATAAGCAGAACTAATTGTGTGCACAACAGAAATAATCAATTCCAAAAACAGCCCCAGAAAAAGACAGTGCAACTCAGCACAGCTTTCTTCTATGAGTGCTTCTGATTTGAAAATGAGTGTTGCTACTTGTTCCCATTTACTAGTGGTTCTTCCTAAGAGTACATCAGTATTACTAACACTGCCCAAAGCACAGTATCCTAATGCTACCACACAGAGTTCTACTTTGTTTTTTTAGAGGTATCTACCTAAACCCCAAAATGAAGACACAGTTCTGTGGTATATGACTGTGCCTATTAATCTGCTATGCTAATACAAATAGAAACATCTCTTAAATGGGCCTCCATTTATTACTGATCTCCTTATTAACAAGACAAACAGAAAACTCTGGAAACAGACTTCCAAAACATTATCAGCATTTTAAACCAATTTCCTCAGTAAGAACTTGTCCGTTTACTTGCTGGGTAAAGGGTTTACTGACTGCGTAATATCTTGATTGTGTTTCAGAACTGCAAGGCTTCTGCCAGTGGAACAGCTGCATCCAATATGTGCTTAACTCTGTCTTTTCTATCCTCTTGTGCGTTTCTGCCTCTCATCACTTATGATAAAAGATGCATGAAAAAAATTTGGAACTAGCCATTTATATTTTTTAAATCACTGTCTGTACTAAAACCAACTAAATTCTACAATGCTAGTTTCAAATTTACAGATTTAAGGAAATAAGCTCATTTCAAGTATGATGCTTTGCATGAAAGAAACAAATGGCTGGGGGGCATGGGGGTGGGATAAGTACACACAAACGTCTGTGACATGGAACGCTTCATATGTGCTTCATATATGCAATAGAAGAATACATGTGTGGGAATATTAAATACTTTTTTCCTACCTGATACATCTGACACATTAGCAGCACAGCTACCCACATGAAATGAAACACACTGTTCAGAAACATCCAGAACATCCAAGGTGAACAGGTAGCTATTTGTGTAATATATGTCCAAAACCCATCTGTTGTGTAAGTAGTGTGACAGTGAATTCCCCAGTCTGCAATTAAAAATACATCATGAGATTATAAAATGCTACCTGAACTTCTTACTACTCGCCTTCTAGTACTTAGAAAGAAAACTTGTGCAACACCATTTTCCTTTGAAGAATTCAGAGATACATAGCATAGCAAAATATATAGCAAATGATGAGAAATGTTTGAGAAATGAGATATACAAAAGCATATTGCAGCAATGATCAATGTATAGTTTAGCATCAGCACAAAGAAGAAAGATAATGTTAAATCCATGCAGACTAAGGACATACTAGGAGTTAAACTAGGCATTTGGAAAATGATTCAGTAAACTACTCACAAGAGATACATCCATATATCATCCAGCAAATCATGAAGAGTAAAAAGAATAGATATCCCATGAAATATCGATGATTGCCTGCTCCTGAGAAGAAAGAAGGACTGAAATAAAGGTCTTCAGTTTTAATGTCATTTTAACAAGGCACCAGAGAATGTACTTCTGGTAATACATTAAGCATAGCTTTCCTGCCAAAATACCAGAAGAGTATTGTTTCAACTGGACAGCCATTTGTCACATGCTTTGCAAATAAATCACAAACCTCACCTGGGAAAAGAAAGCAGTATGCAAGAACTGAAGAAAATGTATGGAAAAGTTAGTATAAATATAAAAAATAAACCATTTCCCCATCCAAAATGAAATCACCTTCCCCTATACATAAAAGGCATGTTAAGATTATCTATAAGGGGCAATGCAATACAACTTTTCTAGTTGGCAATGTCTCAAACACAAAGCTTAGATACTATGGGCTGGATCCAGCACTCCCCCCTGTCGTCATGAGCACTACCCAACTCACGATACTTCAGCTGTGAGAAGCAGGGGAGATGCTCCCCCACATTCATATCCTGCCCTGTTCCAGAGGGTCTGTGACTCTCCAGAGCAGATGGGGAGGGCACAAGGGACTGTAGGGGTAATGAAACTCCTGACTGTTTAATCTTACTGAACATTTGAAGTAATGGAGTCATTATTTATCCTGTTTAAATAGAATATATTGGCCAAATATTACTGAAGGACAATTGCGTATGCAAAGGATAAAACTGCTTCTCAAGATTCTCAGCTGGGAGTAATTAAAAACATAGCACTGATAACAAGTTTTCTTGTACAGCTGTAAGAACACAGAGTGATGGCCCATGTACACTGGCTTCACTACAGTGGCCTTTTGAGTATCATATGAATTGACCTTACTCCTAGTGCCACGTCTTTCAAGTACATCTGAGCTCCTGCAATAGCTGTTGCTGGCAAAGTAGTATGTGTGTATGAACTGCTCCATCCATTTCCCATCATGCAATCAGTTTACAATAACAGAACTGTGCACACAAACTTCCATAAGCAACTGGTTGGCTGAATTCAAGCTATTTCTATGCTTTAATGAAAACATATTGTGGGCATCATCTTGGACTGAGCACTATGTGAATACAGGAAATCTAAGGAACAATGCTGTGCTTAAAAAAATTATACTGACCTACAAGAACCTATTACACAAGTCTTCTAGTTGCACTGGCTGCCAGTTGAAGTCCGGGCCCAATTCAAAGTACTAGTATTAACATTCAAAGGCCTAAACAAATTGGGGCCAGGTTATTTGAAGGAACAGCTCATCCCTATGTACCTACCTAGACCCTAATGTCATCTTCAGGGGTCTTCCTCCAGGTTCCCATTCCAAAGGAAGTAAGGAAGGTGGTTATCAGGAGAAAAGCCTTTTCGGCTGCGGCACCCCAGTTGTGGAATGAGCTCCCGAAAGAGGCGCACCTGGCACCTACTCTGTATTCTTTATGATGCCAGGTGAAAATCTTATTTTCACAGTATTTTAATAGTTAACTTTTAAACTGTATTTTTAATATTGTATTTTACCCTGTACTGCTGCTATACCTCCATGTGGATTGCGTTGCAATTGCTGTGATTTTATTGTCTTATGTTAATTTTTTTCCTCTTTTGTTCTGGTTGTGTGTTTTTAACTTCTGTCAACTGCCCAAAGAGCCTCAGCTACTGGTCAGTGTAAAAATGAAATACATACATACATTTGGTTTATACAGTTATAACACAGTGAACTTTCTGCCTTTATATAGTACTTACCTACACAGTTACCAACCCACGGACAGTGGTGATCAAATTTGGCTATACATCGATTGCATACGCCACAATGTTTGGACCTCACTGGTTTCCGTATCTGTTCAACAGATTTTAATATGCATATAATGTAACAAAGCTTTACAGATATGTGAAGTTTTGAATACATTGTTGCTACAGCTTCTCTTTGTACTTCTCATATATACAGGGGGTGATACTTGAAGAACTCCCCCACATTTTAATCCTGTCTTCGCTGTACAGTTCCCAGCCAAGGCAAAGTTTATTACTTTAAAATTCCCTTGTGTTGCATTTGTAACAAACACCCATAACCCTTAGAGAGTTATGGATAAAATGCAACGTAAGTACTGAACATACAGCTGCCAAAGGTTCTTAATGACACAGTTAATGGCAAAGACAAGAAATCTCTACTTTTAACCATGAACTAGAATCTTCCACCATTCTCTCATGTAAACAAAAACATATCTTAGATTTAGAGATGAAAGTAACTATACTTTATTAATGAGGAAAAATAAATTATAAGTGGCAAATAAATAATGCTTATAGATAATTTTAATTATAGTTCTACAATTTACCCATGACTGAATACATAATAATTCATATGTTGTAAGGGAAACACTGAACAATTACAAGTATTAATGTTTTAATAATAAATAAATAAATAAATTATAAATTAAAATATCTCATCAAAACATGTCAGAACACAATTTTGATTTTGGAATATTCATTACTTATTCCACCAACATAATTCCTGTACATTTTGAGAATTTACTGTGATATATAAAGCACATTCAACTTTTAGTCAAGCCAAAAAATTTACCTGATTTTGCCTATATTACCAACTTTAGACAGTGATGATTATGAATATGTAGACATAGAAACCCTATCAGCTAAGAGGGGAAACAAGTTATTTTATACAAAGTTGATGTCTGAGCAAGTATACTGAACAAGCATATACAGTCCGAACAAAACAGTACATAAAAATGTGAGTGTTCCGTCTTTCTAAAAGCAAGGGTTGAAGAAACAGGACCACACTAAAATAAGTTACGATGTAGCCCAGTATTATTTTTAACACTTAATATTAATTTGGCACTCAGTGTGAAAGCTGTTGTACATTATTATAGAAGTGATGTAAGTACATTAGATGGCTATGATCTGAATAGAATAAAGGAATATAAGGTTGTGGGAAAGAATGAATGGTGAGAGTAGATGATATTTTGGTGGCAGTACCATACAACAGCAGGAATAGACTTCAGGTTTATGTGAGCTACTTTTTTTTAATGAGATCCCTGAGCTGGAGCCTGGTGCAAAAGAGCTGCTCAGTTGGGTATAAATGATGTACTAGGATTTAACAAACAGAATATACGTCAGCTCACAAATTTGTGACTGACAGAAGAATCAAATTCACAAATACTTTCACACAGAATCCACTTTGGGCTTTTCAAGTATTCTTTTTCAGCAATCTAATTGGAGTCAGGGAAAACTATTAATACAACTACCACTACCACTATTATTATTCAACTGAGAATCAGGACCCCTTATCAATCTATTGCAAATCACCCAGAAATCTACCAGAAGGAATCTACTAGTAAGTTCTGATCCATTTTCTATCTTTGCTACCCGTGATCCTTAAACAATGTAGTACAGCTAGGAGAAGCAGAATATTTATTTACTTAGAAGCAGAGACGACAGCAACTGAGTCCAGGTACATGGATGGGCAATGAATATCTTATTTTACTGACTGTATATAAGTCAGCTGGGGAGCAAAATAAAAATACTTTACATAATAACATTTTTAAACAAAAATAGTCTTGCACTTCAGGCAACCCTGTAAACTCATCAACAAATGAGGGCAGGGGTGATTTCAGTCTGCCTTTAAAAGCTCAGAATGGGAGACAAGGCAGAACAAACCTGGGAAGAGCAAAGGAGACAAAACTGGGTGGGGGGTTTCCAAGTTCACAGAGGCCATGAAGGGAATCTCCACACTTCAGATTTGGCTGCAGGTTAGAGTCGCCCCCCCCGCCCCCACCAACAAAACAAGTTCCTTTCTTTCTTTCTTGGTCTGCCAAAGTAAGTAGTTAGAATTTGTATACTGAATTAGAGAACTACTATGGCTGCAACACCTAGCAAATATTTTATTTCAGAGTTATATTCAAATCCTGCTGAACTTATTTCCAGAAGAGCTCACAGGAATACAGAGTCCTAGCTGAGGTGGGATGAGAACCCAGCTAAGAAATCTTGATACCCTGCTTTCTTCTGGATCCATCTCAACAGCAGTTTACACACTACTTTTCTGTCCACAGTGAGTATGCCATTCACATACCTGAAATCTTAGCATTCTTAGTTAGCAGGGACTCATCTATAATCTGAAAGAATACCTGCCCTTACAAGCTCAAAATGTACACTCATTTTGAAAACAATACAACTTTAAAGGTTACATTTTAATTACACAGAAGCTTAAAAAAGCATACTACCAAGCAGGTACTGCAGAATATACTGAGGTCCAAACTTCCTGTCTCTGCAAGTTCCACTATTGTCTGCAGAAAAGCAAAAACAAGAGCATTTAATTTTTAAGAACTGAGTTAATACATGTCACCCCTATTTCTGTAACAACTACTGATTAGCTTAATACATAGACTGATGAGTTTAATACAAATTTTCAGAAGGAGATCAGCAACCCAGCAAACTGCTTTCCATAGGAAGTGTACCTGAATGACCCATTTACTATTTTTAAATGAATTCTAAAAACAAGTTCCCTACATTTACTTTTATCTAAATAAATGAAGTTGTTTGAGGTTTAAAATATAAATATTGCAGTGTTTAAATGAATGCTAATGGGTTTTATAATGCTGTGATTAGTTTTTTAGCATGTTTTCACTGTTATAACCAAAGAAAAAGTTAATTTGCTTAAATCAAATGAAATTTGTTTAATCAGCTCTTGTTCTATAATAATGGTAACAATATCTTTAAAACATCTAGTTCTCTGCACCCAAGATGAAGCAATATTGATCTACTATTAAATGGTACTCATTGATAGTTACTCTCTATAGCCTATTTTCATAACCCAAAATAGAGAACTAACAGGCCCGAAGCAGTACAGGTTCTGTAAAATTTTCAATTGCGCTAAAATGCCATACAACTTTAAATTCTCTGAGGAGATTCTGGTTGCTGCTATGGTCAAAGCAAGACCATGACAATAGTGGATAACTGAAAGATGGAAAAGTCACTGACCACTGTCAGGTTAACACAATCAAACAAAGTAAAAAAAATATTTTTAATCTCAGTATTACAAATACGAACTGCTATATATCAGGGTTATTTATCAGCTATATCAGAAATGTTAACTTAATTCCACTAACCGCAGCAAAGACCTACAGGTTATGCCACACCTCCACATATATCTGTACCCAATTGGTTGGATTCCAGCAGCCTCTGAGCAGACACCTGCTTTGGTTTCCCTGGAAGGAAATCTCAATCCAGAGATGGACAAGAAGAAAGTGCCCCTGTTTATTCTCCAGGAATAAGCTATCACATTGTTCCTGACCAGCTGAAAGGAATGGAAATACTATAGGCAGTCCCTGGGTTACGAATGAGTTCTGGACCTGAGAAAATGGAAATCCATCTTTAAGTCAAATTTTGTATGAATTGCATACAGGCGGCCCTCCACATTTGTGGGGGTTGGGGGCTCAGAACCCTTGTGAAAGTGGAAAAACCATGAATATCTCTAACCCCTACCCATTCAAACTCACCAGAGACTCCTCTTTGCAGCAAGGAAATGTGGGAGAGATGTCCCACTTCAGATGGGTGGGGCAGGAAAACCTGCTTTGGAGGCCCTGCCTCGTTTCCTCTCTCTCTGTGGTGGTGATGATTTCCTGCAGTGGGCCTTAAACTTGTATCTTTAAATTTATTTGCTTTCTGGAAGTTTGTTCGTTAAGTTTGTAAACAAGGTGTTCATAACCCAGGAACTGTCTGTACATGCTTTCCTGTGATTTCAAGTCTTCCTGCTTGGTTCCTCACTTGGTCACTGCTGTTCTGGCCCCAGGGAAGCTGACTTGTGGGATATCACACGATTTCATCTTCTTCCCAATTTATTCAAATATCTATATGCAGCTCCTGGAATGGATCACTAGAATCTAAAATGTAGTGTCATCAATATTCAAGTTATTGTTGGTTAATTTTGCTGTATCCCCCTTTCTGTAACTCAGACTTTGCAACTGTCACCCATGTTTAGTTATCTGCACTTATTCTTGCAATGAGTTCTGCATGCAACTGACTTTGAAGTTAATTTGGAAGAGACAGCTGCTGCAGAACTCCGTGGCCCACAGCTTTTAGACCAAATTCAAAGAGTTAGTAAGCACCTTTAAAGCCCTATCCAATCCTTTGTGTCCACTGAGGATAGTTGACAAGGTGTCACTTCAGACTTCACTGGATGGACACAGAGCTTCTTAAATAGCAAGGAATACTAGCTTTTTGGCCTCTGCCTACACAGGGCCATTCCACTATATTTTTATATTCCCTTTGCTAACATGTAAAAACTTGCTTGGGTGGGCCTTAATGAGGACTGCTTTTATGAAACAATGGTTTGAGGTTGTTCACATAAAAGCTGAACATCATCACCATCCATTAACAAGAAATAGTTGTTTGTCATTACCTTTTTCTTTTGTTCTTCTGTGGCTTTAATTATTCCTGGGTCTGATTTCCATGATTTCCCAAAATTGTAGAAAAGTGCAACACTATTGGCAAGAAATGGAAGGTGGATGAACAGAAAGTTTAGATGTACTGAATGTTAAGGAATTTAAATATGACATGTGCAAATTCATGTTCCTTTCCAGAATAATTAAATAATATTCTGAAAATAAGCACAGAAAAAAATTGAAGCATATTTTTCTACTGTAGTTGATATACTTCACTGGAAATATTCTGCATGTTCAAGATATTCAATAATCTTGTATATTTATTCAAGTATATAATCACTTATCTTATAACTCCTAAATTTACAGTGTAAACCTGCACACATTTACTCAGAAGTAAAATAACCTTAAATATTCCTTTAAATCCATTTGTAAGACAAAGAGTGTGCAACTACATGTCCAATCTTTCATTATTTTTTACTCTTTATATATGCAATAGTTTGAAATTCCAGGTAAATCGGGGAATACTTTATTTATTTATTTATCGATTTATATCCTGCCTTTTTCCTACAAAGGACTCAAGGCAGCTTACATCATTCTCCTCCTCCATCTTATCCCCACAACAACAACCCTGTGAGGTAGGTTGGGCTGAGAGTCTGTGACTGGCCCAAAGTCACCCAGTTGGCTCCATGGCTGAGCGGGGACTAGAACCCAGACTGTCTGAGTCCCGGTCCCATGCTCTTAACCACTACACCACACTGGCTCTTTAACCACACAACTGATTATATAAGGAATTGAAAATACCATAATCGTCTTTTTGTGATGGAGTTCAACCCGCCCAGTGATATGCAAGGATTTGACAATAAATATCAATCTATGCTGCCATAAGGAAAGGTAAGAAACTTTTTAAAGTTCCATTTGTCAATACTAGCAGATCATAGATTAATGTTAGTGATTTTTCTGGTCATCATCTTTTTGTCAGGATTAAATAAAAGGCGGATATATGATAGTTAGACATTATAAAACTATGCTATCTGCTTCTCCAGAACCAAATCACTTATTGTGTCCTGTAGCACTGCAGCTTTTTATGAGAAGTGCTCATTTAATCTGAATGAACTTTATCCCAGTATCAGTCCCTTTGTCATGATCAGGTCACTTCTTGTTGAGATGTAGACTTAAGCAGTTTTTTCCCTATGCAGGGGTGGAGAATGTATTAAGTTGGCCCACCCTGGAGGTTAATTGATCTGCACAGTTTCCGGAGGGTTCAAGGGGGCAGGGACTCTGACCAATATGGGAGGTTCTTGTGGCAAAGGCCTGGTCAATTTGTGGAATACAGAAATGGTCTGAGAGATTGATACTATTGCTTCTACATGCCTCTCCTGATTAGTAAAGCTCATACAGTTCCATGTAGAGATCAGAACAATGAAATACAAGCTCTTATCTATGTTCTTCTGACACAAATATTCTATTAAATTCTGGTGTTTGAATTGAGCACATTAGTAATTAATAAACTCCTAATGTACTTCTACAATGAATACCAATGAGAATTGGAATGCATTGCAACACTAAGCAGAGTAGAACCTAACAAGGCCTCAGAATATCAAATTAAATACAGTAAGTAAATTAAAATTAATATTTTATCAACATTCTGTTGACAATTTAAATATCAATTTTAATTATTTTAATTATTTTTCTAGAAACATTTTCACTACTGATCAAATATACGTCCAGAAGCAACTCTATGGTGGCAGTCATAAAGAGAAACTAAATATATATTGTAATATTCATCACACTGGGAATAAATATGGCTTTATTATCGACTGAAATTAAGCATCCTGTACATAAAAATGATAGTAATGATGGAATAAATTCTCTCTGACTGCCACTTGTCTACATGATTCTGTAAAAACAGAAGAGATGTGATTTCAACAACTTGTAGACAAGTTAATTAATGGCAGAACTTTAGAATGACTAGGACAACTAATGGTAGAAGCTTGAAACATTAATAACTTAAACTGACATGTGAGACTTAGTGAAGGTTGATTTTGGCAGCATCTGCATGGCCAGTGTAAAACATGCTCATGATCTGCTGTCACGGGAAGTTCATGAACATAAACTGCAGAAGAGGAAAGATTTTATAATTGAGAAATGATAAAGTTATTTATTAAATATCTTTATCCAACCCCTCAGGCAAAAACAGCTCCTGAAGTGGCTTATAACAAATAAGCAAAACAAGACAGAAGAAACTGAAAAGGGAGACGTTAGTGTGAGTATAATGGATAGGCGTATTCAAGCAGGATGTGGGAAAGCCATGAAACTCTAATACATACTTGTTCCTTCCCATATGTATGTATTTATTTATTTTATTAGATTTAAATCCTGCCTTTTTTCTTACAAGAACTCAAGGTGGCTTACATGATTTGTCTCCTGCTCTAAATCCTATCCTATCCAACAACAACCCTGTGAGATAAACTGGCCCCAGAGCCTGGCAACTGGCCCAAAGTTACTCAGTTGGCTCATGGCTGAGTAGGGACTAGAACTGGATTGCCTGCGTCCCAGCCCTGCATTCCTAATCACTACACCACACTGGCTCTCCACTGTCCACTCAAAGACCAAAAGGATGACCAGTTGTTGAGGCTGGCACATTAATTTTCTTCCTCTTAGTGTCAATGGGAAGGAATATTTTTAAAGGACAGGAGGCTGCCACATTCTGCCCTGGCTAGCACAAGATAATAGGGTTTAGGGAGCAGCAGTTTCACTATGATGTAATCTCTTGCATCCCGTCCTTTAGGACTGATCTTTAAGGCCACTGTTCTCCCTGCTCAGAGTCCTTATGCACCCAGCTGTCTTCTTCAATCTATATTCCAATCTGTTTGCTTTCATTCATCTCATCCTTCCTCACTCTACTTTTACTTATTGTAAAAGTTTTCACTCATTCCTTTCCCTACACTCTTGTCAGTCTCAATTCCATCAGTCTCTCAACCCTTTTAATGTGAGTCCTCTGATCTTTTTCAAGCCCTCTAATCTTCAGTTCATTGCAATATTTGCTACACTTTAGCCTTTAAATGTTAAAGTCAGTGTAAGTTACACAATCACTAAAACCAAAATTTTCATATACTAAATTATTGAAAACATAAAGGATATCATTCCAAAACCAGAAAAACCATGTCACATACATCCAGAATTTTGTTGCTAGGTAGATTCCAAGAGGCAGTGCACTATGCATGGAGTGATCAAAGAAAGATCTATAGAAGAATAGAGAAACATTATCAGATGGGATTAAAACATGGTATCCTGGCATGACAAAATTGCCCCCCCACACACACACTATTTCTGTCAATCTATTAATCTTTCTAGTAAAAGTCTTTAATCATCTATATGACTCAATAAAGCAAGCATTTTTAAATCTTAAGTAGAGCATTGATGGTGTTCATAATTACCTGGTTCAGAAAATACATTTGCTTAGCTTCTAATGCATAGATGAAGTATGAATTGAACAGAATTTCCACCAATGTTCTCCAGTTTGTTTGTTTTACCAATGTGTAAGACAAAATTCTACATATGCATGGTCAGAATTCAAGTAGATCAGACTACTTTGTAGTCATATGCACAAAAATCCTTTAATGTGAATTTTAAATGTATTACAAGCTATTATACTCAATGAATTGCCCATTGATTAATATAAATTATGTGACCACCTGAATAAATACTCTTTGATTTGGTATGTATCATAAAAATATTCAGGCCAATTCCTTCTATTACTTCCTTCAAGGTTCTAACTCTTGTATTCCTTTGGTGAAGAGAGTAAGGAAGAATTGAATTTTCCAATGTTGTCCCCATTGTGGTTGGTTGTAGGTACAGTTTTTAGGGTCAGTACAATATGGTGGGTGTACTCAGCACCATCATTACAAATGCATCAATATCAGAAGCAGTAGGATAACATTTGAAGACAGACCTTTTTTTTAATGACTGTCCAAAAAAGTTCATAAACTTCAACGCAATACTGAATCAAGCAGATGAGAGATTACCCACCTTAAGCAGATACAGACTCAGAAATATAAAGCTATATATTTTTATATCCACTGGGCAAGATTCATAAAATGGCCTTTCCCCTCAGATTAACATGGTAAAGTGGTCTTGCAAAAATGAACCCACAGGTAGGATACCAAATTGATTTTCAAGATGTAGTCATGTTGTACTACATTTCAAAATGGTTATATGAATCAGCGTTTGAAGACAAGCAGCAACACTGCAGAAGTTTCAGAAAAAAAATACGAAGTGCTGCCAGTCTAGTAACATGTCAAACTACATTGTTTCAGGCTGGCTGTGCAAACTTCCTAAAACTTGATTCAATTGGACTCCATTAAGGCTAAAAAACAAAATTCTGCACGCTAAGAGTGTTACAGGAATCCAGAACCGTAGAGGAATGTTTATGTGAAAGCCACATTTTGACAGCAGTTAGAAAGACTAAACTGCACATTCAGCAGAAATCAAGATTATAGTTATTTTAACTGAGTTCAGAAAAAAAGCCAAACCAAGAACATGAGCTGTGGTAATCTAATCTCTTAATTTTACACATGAGATTCTAATGTTTAAAATATGTATCAGACATGTTCTGTATTTCTTAAATAGACAAGAAATATAAGATAATCCTTCTTACAACCTTTCTTTAGGCAATAAAATTCTTGATATGAAAATATTTTTGCCCCTAAAATTACAAGGTTATTCTAACTCTCTTTTCTTTATTCATGTTCAGACACCCTTTTCAAGAAAAACTCTCTTAAATGGGGTGTTTGTGTAATAGATCATTATGTAATGGAAGGATATTTAACTGATACAATGGAAACACATGCTATATTTCATTTATAGAGGGAATGTGATAGGCATTTTACAAATGGATTTCAACATTTTATTCTCAACACTGGAAAGGGATATCAGAATTGTGGAAGAAGAATCATGGCAGATGGACTGATAAACCCTTTCATTTTAATATAAAGCAACTAGAGAATGATTTATATATTGACTCAAGTTGTAATGTAAAGTTATTTCGCATAGTATGCATTCAATAAACAATCCACAAGACTGTAAGGGCATCAAACCATATTTCACTGTATAATGCACCTACATTGTATGTTTTTCTGTCTGTCTTGAATAATAATTCAGTGAAAGGTGGAAATGGGATAAAACAATAAATTCTTTTCAGGTATGGTGCTTTTATACATCTGACAATACTTTATGAATAACTAAATTATCCTTATTTTTTTAAAAAAGGAATTCCTTAATTCCATACTTACTTTGAAAGAAACTGAACCATAGCCCAAACACCACCATACATTAATCCTTTAATGAGCCAAGAATCAATGTCAAGGTCTGCTATAAACCCAACCAGCCAAATAACTAGGAAAGGTGTACCTAGCATCACCTTCTGACGAAATTCCTACATAAAAAAGCAAACATTATTTTTAAAAGACTTAGTTGAAATATAAGTAGATCGTTTTAACATTTATACTTCAAAGCAAGTTCAATACATTTTTAAAAGGGTTTAATCCTGTAGATTCAGGGAGGATCCTATGTTCAGACAAATGCAACATATCTAGATTAGGTCCATCAGTGAACAAGAAGAGGAATGAAGCAAGGAAGCCCAAAACCTCCAAATACTTCCTGTAGGAGACTCAACTGGGAATATCTAAACAGTCTGACTGCTACCAGAAGTGGAAAACATATTATATGATGTATCATTTAAAGAGTCTTCTCACCTTATCAGCCCTGAGCTTTCTGAGAAATGATGGACTGTCATATCCTTTTGCCTGCCTTGCCTCCTGTAGATGATTTATCATCCAAACATTTTTTCTTTGTTTGGCTAAATCAAGTGGTGATTCACCCTATTAAGAAAATGGAAGATTGAAGAGGCTTTGTTTAAATTTAAAAATATTGAAAACAGATGCAGGACAATTTCACTTTTAAAAATAAACATTAATTCAAAACATTTTAACTATTTAAAAGTTGTAAAATATACTAGATTATTTTCCTTGGCAAGATTTCTTTATTTTTAGAGAAAATTACTTTCTTCTAATCTTTTCTCCTTTTGATTAGATAAGTGATAAGCAGCTGGCAGTTTCTGTGTCTTCTTGGGACATGGTCTCCTGCCTCACTATAAGTTTGTTAGTTTACCTTAGGGAGTAGATAGAACAGTTCATAGGATTTTAAAAGACAAGCATTCTTAGCTCATTAGTCTGGAACACAAGGTTTTCCCTCACAGAAAAGCAGCAAAGGCAAGCCAAAGGAAGCCAATTAAACTCTAACAGATATGTTTGTTAAGCAATAACCAATGCTCTGTGCAAATGATAAATCTGTGTAGGTAGTAGACAGCAAGTATGGGTGTTATTAGACATATGTTTCAGTATCTGTACATATAGTAAAAACTAAACACTTTACTGGTCAATACCACTCTTCCAGATGATCACATTTAAATTTATGCATATATGGGTAGTGCTGTACATAGCTAACAGGATGTCCTATATTCCTTGATTTTATGATATATAATGTATTTCTAGCATTTTATACTGCCAATATTGTCCCAGCAGTAGCATTAAAAATATTGTATTAGCATAAACTAATATTTCTGCAATGTAACTAGCACAATGCAAAAAAGCACCAACGCTACTGAAAGTCATCAGAACAGCTGCAAAAGGGGTGATATTCCTACCCCTTTTTGCCACCACTGCTGCAAGTCATTACTTTTAGCTGTTGTGATAGTTATACTGAACAACCATTGGTTTATACTAGAGCAAGGATATTAAGGCTTAAGGCTAGCGGCAGGATAACAGTTGATGCTATTTATGCCCTATGCAAACATTAAATTTAACAAGTGACCACCTAATGAGGGCAGTGCAGGATGGGATAGTGCAATCCCAATTATCTTCTATGTGTAAATATTGAATATCTGCATCTTTGTTTCTGTATGCCACATTATGGAAATAAAATGTAAGCTACAAAAATTCAGTATTATTCCATACCACAGCCACTGATTTAAAAAAAGAGAGAGAGAATCTGAATAAATAATGTATTGATTGCTGGCTCCTGGTTGGCAGCTTGTTATATTTAGCCTTGTTTTCAGAAGTAACTTTAGTAGTTAAGAAATGACTTTTTAAATATATTCTCCCCTCCAATACAGAAAGATGAACAAAAAAGCTCCTGTGAGGAAAATCTATCCACGGCTATGGCAGATAATCATTCTTCATCTTTATCTCTCAGGGAATAGAACGGTAATAAGCTACAGTCATTATTACTTGCTAGCCATACCCACTCTACATGAAACAAACATGGTAACTAACATAGAATCAAAGAACAGTAGAGTTGGCAGGGGCCAGAGGGGCATCAAATCTAACCCCCTGCTAAGTGCAGGACTCCAAGTTAAACCATCCCTCTCAGATGGCTGTCTGTTTACATCCTGAATGCCTCTACTGTGGGAAAGCCCACAACTTCCCTAGGTTCATTTTTTTGTACTGCTCTAATAGTCGCGAAATTTTTCCTGATAGCTAGCCAGAATCTGGCTTCCTGTAACTTGAGGCCATTATTCTATGTCCTACACTCTGGGATGACCAAGAGATCCTGTCCCTCCTCTTGTGACAGTCTCTCAAGTACTTGTAGCGTACTTGTACATATCTCCCCTCAGTCTTCTCAAGGCTAAACATGCCCAGTTCTTTTAATCTCTCCTCACAGGGATTTGTTTCCAGTTTCTTGATCATCCTTGTTGCCCTCCTCTGAACCCTTTCTAGCTTGTCTGCATCTGTCTGCATCTTTCTTAAAGTTATGGTGCCCATAACTGCACACAATACTCCAGATGATGCCTAACCCGTGCTGAGTAATGAGGAACTAGTACTTCACAAGATTTGGAAGTGATATTTCCATTAATTAATGATATTGATATTAATTAATTATACTTGTTTAATGAGAGACTGAAGAGATTATTTATCATAGCAAAATAATCTCTTTAATCTCTCATGATAAAATGCAGAAAGCCTTTCAACTTCCAAAAATCTAAAATTACTTTGCAATACGGGGTTGGCCTTTTGCATCCTAATCCTACCAACAGAGATTTCCAAAGATACAACTTGCTTACACCTCAAGACAGAACGTTCTTGTAGTACAGAGGAGGCAAAAAACAACCAACTGAAGGTACCTCCAGCTCCAGTTTTGCACTCCTCCTCTCTTCTACTGAAGATAACTCCCCTCCTAAACAAAGCATTCATGGAGGCTTGAAAAATGGCTGAATCCTCCATCGTTCGGCCCTCTCCTAAAAAAAAATGAGACAGGTACCAGAAAGTGAAGTTACCCAGGAAAGGCAAGAAGCCTTTGAGACAGAGCACAAATGGCAAGGATTATACATCTGAATTCCAGCATCAGTAGAGACTACACACCTAATCACCATTAGGCATTTAATTTCTATTGATAGGATTTGTGCACCAAAAGCCCATATGTGACTTGGAAATCTTAGTCAGCAAATCACTTCTAAGGAATTCAATAGCAATAGAAACTGGGCAACAATGCTTTCTGGTCCCCTAGTGAAAATTCCTTTCACTTCTAATGTTTACTGAGAGCCCCCTATGTACCTTGGAATCAAGAAATATTGTTTTATTCTTGGACATATTTTGCCACAAGGAAACTGGTAAATTGAACAAGACTTTCCTCAGCAGAGAAGCCAAAGGAATGAGCTCAAAAACAGTTAAATAAATTCCTGATAATCTGCACAACTAAAGTTTCCTGGGTTTGTAGTTTTTGAACTGAAATTCAATTGATTTTCTTTTACAGCAATTTTTAAATTAGCTGTGGGCAATGACTCACTATGCAGAAGTAACACCCACTGTAAACACTACTGCTGGTCCAACTATTTCTTCTACTCTCAAGTATACATGACAGCATAAGTTTTTGTTTTTTTTTAGATCAAATGGCTTAAACAAAACAAACCTGTACCAATCACCAACTAACCACTCTGAGGCATCTGTTAATAGTATTAAGCCATGATAGGATTTCCTCCTCCTATCTTTTTTTAAAAGCCTTTTTAAAAAGGTGTATCAAAGTCAAAGATTTTAATAAAAGCCTATTGTAGTCTGAAGAACCCACAATATTCTCAACAGACATTTGGGCTTGTCGTGGGTTGTTCTTCCTCCCTTCCCTATCAATCCTCCAGTTAGCTCCAGCACTTATTGTGGGGGACCTTACAAAAGAACCAAGATTCTCTCTTCCCCACCACAGTCATTGCCTCTTTTCATTCTCTTGGGGTTTCTATTTTATTTTTCTGGAGTCTCAAAACAATTGGGGTTCTAATTTTGCAGTCTTTTGCAAATGCCCTTTCTGATACTGTAGTCTTTCCTGGTCCATTTCCTTGTCTGTTTCAGCAGTCAAAGGTAACAGGGTACACAATACACAAGAAAATTGATAAGACCAGGCTACCATTCACTAATGTGTACATAGTTTTGAAGTCCAGGGGAGAAACAAAAAGAGTAAACAAACAGTATAGTAAACAAAAGAAGAACCTATTAGAGTGAGTTTTAGTTTTAAAAAATGTTTTGTGTGTAAAAAAAACACATGGCTATTAATTATATCTGAACTGGGCCAGTTACCCTGGCCACCCATATGAAAAACTGAGAATTGATTTTGAAGAACAGCAGTTACAGTTGTTAGCTAACTGGGGCTAACAACTAGAAAAGTTGTTGCAAAACAAAGGTAAATTTCCTTCCCCTTTTATAGCATAATTCGAGGATTCTAGAATCTCACCACCACCACAACAACCATATAGTAAATAAATTCTGTACCATTGCAACTGATAACAGAATCTCAAAAATGCAGCAACTTCTATTACATTCTACTTCTCTTAACAAAGTACATGCTTACATTTCTTGCTTTACATGCCAACCTCTAATGCTAACCTAAATTCACCTTCAGTATGTTTTCTTTCCTGTTGTTACTGTTATTGTTGTTGTTACTGTTTTTCCTTAAGCAGAATAGCTAAGGCAAAAATAAATACAAATATTTCCATAATTGGATCATAAGTCTGAACTTAGCTCTCATATTTGTTTGTTTTTTCCTAACTGCTTCTGTTCTCTTCAGAGCTCAAGTTTCTAATGAAGGTACAATACTGCTTATCCAAAATCAAGTTTAGTCAAATGATACAACACCTGCCACCCCCTCAAAGAGTGACACATTTCATTTTTTTAGAATGAACTGTTGTCTTTAGAAGAATATGACAGGAAAGGTTCAAGTAAAAGCATATGATTCAGCAACTTACACTTACTATAGATTTATCTATTTATGGATTGACTCCACAAAAGAATCCACAACTTTGAATTTACAGCAGCGCAGCAGGGCTGTCATGGATGGGACATTTTGGACATCTTTCATTCATAGGATCACCATAAGTTGAAAACAACTTGATAGCACATAACAACATCCCTTCTTGCAAGAATCAAGAAAAAACCCTTAGAAGGCTTAAGAATGGCAGCTAACTTTATACATATTAATTCAGTGATCAGCTGTTTTATTTTGCAGACATGATTACCCATCTCAAAGGTAAACCAGAGTCCAACAAATATAATCTGCTACACTGCAGAAGACTCCTCTTGTTAAAAATACCAAACATCATGCTTGTCTTCCAAAAGAGGAAAGGGAAAAGAAAATACCATTACCCATTCTGAGGCCTTATGCCAAAGCAAAACCTAAAAAAGATACTAATGGGAAAATGGGGATGACCTACAAAGAAGCATACCAGCGGATCTTACTAGTCATTTGATTATTACACACTTCTGCTATACATTGGCTCAGGTACCCACAGATATATGCATAGCAATCCATGCTATAAGTAAAATAAATGATGTTGCTTTTCCCCATGTCTAATTATATTCCTGAAAGCTTTAATGTATGCATAGGTCTCTTAGCAAAGAGGCTGCTGCCTGTCTGGTAGCTAAATATCAAAATCTTGCACTTAACTTTGAACATAAACCACAAACCTTACAGGTCAATAATTTAGAATTTCCTGAATGAGTACATCCACTCAAAAAGTTATACCTGCAGGACCTTTCAGATGACTGCAAGACACCTGTAAGGGAACATCTGCAGACAGCAGAGATATTGGGTAGGAACTGCATTTGCACATAATGACAAACCATCTGTTAAACGACTGATGGGTTGTCACGCATGGAGTGCCTACTTCTTCCACTTTTACCCCACAACTCATGATTGATTGGCTCCTTTGTAAGCTGTGAAGTGTGATATCCAAACCCAGTGATTAATGCAGCATCAAAACATAGGTTAACCACTGGGTTGTTTAGCAGTCCAGGTTTGCATGTTGCCTTCCATAACCTACGAATGAGCAGATTGCATATTATGGGATAAAAGTGAAAGAAACACATGAGCTGCAAGTAGTATTCATGTATAACAACCCGTTTGCTGCTCAGACAATAGGTTGTTGTTACATGTGAGCCAGGCTGTTATGCAGTTATTCAACATATATTTTCAACTTATCATGTGATGAGTAAGGGAACCTGTTACTAAATCATACCTATTTTTTCTTACTTTAAAATACCAATGAATGGACTGTAACTATTGATAATAAAGGATTGAACTGGATTAAGAACTGAAAAAAGATTTCACTGAACATGTGTCATTTTTGCCAAATGTGTCAGTTCACTAAAAATGTTGAAGGTACAATTCTCTTTGAGAAGTAAAGAGGAATTTTCTAAACACAATTCATAACAACTAATGGTCCAAGAGATGGAATATTTTCCCATCAAATTCCAAACTATGAAGCCACTTTAAAGTTTACAAGCAGTTAATAAGAGTTATTTCTAAAAACGTAATCCAATTCTATGCTTACAGTTCATATCATTGCAATTAGGGTGGCTACACATTTTATTCTAAAGAACTAGATGAAGAGCTAGTTTTGCAGGAAACTTGCTCAGTGAAGAATGGCAGCGATGTGCTTCTTCCTGCACATCTTTGCTCCTCATTCTCCCATCACAGAGCTTAGAAAAACAGTTACATGCTAAAGAAAGAGACAACTTTCTCTGTCCATTTCTCACAAGCTTATTTCTCCTTCCCACACTGTGACATTATAGGTAGCATGAAAGGAGCATCTCTGCATTCTTGAATAGCTCTGGGGAAAGGATAGGGAAGTAAAGATAAATCAGGATGGAATCCTATCTAAGATTTATTACTTAGATAGAAATAAATCTTAAAATGGCTGTCTGGAAAATGCATGGAATTACTTGAACCTTACAAGAACCTGGATTTGACTGGCTGCCAATGGTGTCCATCTATGCTAGAGGCAAGGCCACAACAAACACAGTTAGATGAATGCAATCCACTGTTCTGAATAGGTGGTAATATTAGGATTCAATTTACTGGTACTACAACCAAGAGGCGGCATAGCAGGACCATCATGCCCTGCCTTTCATTCATAAATAAGGATATACAATCAGTAATAGGCTTATGTTTTATTTGCCAAGCCTCAGTACTTCCTGGGAAAAGGAGAAAAAGAGAAAAAAGGATCAGGACTACCCGTGCTCTCAACACATGGTAGAGAATACAGAATCTGGCAAAGTACAATATTTGCAAACAAAATAGATAGTATTCTTTTCCAACTGAGTGCAAAGCATAGTGATACATGGTATCTTATATACTACTGTCTAGAAGATAGGATATGGACATCTAGCTTTCTTCTATTATCTAGTTAAGTACTCACTAACTATTATTCCCAAGACATACCTGCCTCAAACTTTAAGAAATATTAGTCTGCAACATTTTAGTAATACTACAAATAGGAGAACTTTCAGCTCAGTTATCTGGCTACTTTATTCATTCTCTCCTCATTCATTCATTCATTCATTCATTCATTCATTCATTTAAAGGATGTTTATGCCGCCCCCTTTGCAACAAGCCTCAGGGCAGCTTACAAAGCAAAACACAAAGTATATCAAAAGATTGTAGTTTTTCACCCTGTAATAGATGCAACAAATTTTCCTGAGTAATTTTCATCACTCTAATAAATTACACTAACACAGTACTTGATTTATGTATGTGTGGTATCCAGCTGGGATACTAGCACTAGGATAAAATACTTCATGCCATTGTACCATGTAGAGGATCTCTAGTGTAATGCCTACAACATGAGCTGGCTCAAAGTGATTTCCAGGAAAACCTGTGGCACCAATTAAGACTAAATGTTCATTATGCTAGCATGACATAATTTGTATTAGTGCTAGTGTACTGTTGGATACTGCCCCATGCTGCTACTTCCTCTCTCGTTACTCTGCTGCTTTATAGAGGAAACGAAATATCTGCAGAAGGGTTCTATGGCAAACTGCTGCTTGTCATGAATGAGGAAAAAATATATATTCCAGACTAGAGAAGTTCTGTTTATATAAATCTTAAAATATTTTATTTCATAAATTGAGGAGTGAGTGGAATTTTTAGCAGTAGAAATATTTAAATGAAAATCATTTTAGCGAAGCAATTTCATACCCTTTAAATACTGATTTTATAATTAAATAATTTTAGGAACTGGGGAGATAGAAAGACAAATGGTAAGAAGCTCCAGAAAAAAGAAAATTAAACTGGTGCAATTCAAGAATCAGCGTAAAGGCAAAAAAGCATGAAGTTCACAATCATGACGGAAAAATGTGGAGTATGTGCACGAGGTGGTAAAGGGCTGAGGGGAAAAAGAACAGTGGACATAGATTTAAAAAATGAAACTACAGGTGCAAGAGGTGCAGAGGAAAAACTATTCAGTCTCTATGGATAGAATACTGAATTTATTTATTTATTTTATTTATTAAAACATTTTTATGCCGCCCCATTCGCCGAAGCCTCGGGGCGGCTTACAACAAAAAATTAAAATAACATTTTAAAATATATACAATAAAATACAAATATACACTATAAAACAAGCCGCCCTGGCCAAATAATTTCACACTGAGTAGAAATGTCCAACCAAATATGCAGGTTTCCATTTAAAAATGCATGCATTTACCTTGATATTTTGAGCATCAACATTAGCGCCAGCTTCTAGAAGAAGACTAATCACTGTAGTGTTTCCCGCTAGTACTGCCCAATGTAGTGCTGTGTTCTTATGATATTTGTCTCCCAGATTCACTGAAACATTAAAAGTAAGCAGCAACCGAGTGGGGTCCACACTAGAAACAGAAAGCAAGGAACACTATACAAAAATGTACCACTATTTTCAAATTAAACCAGAGCATGATTCCTTGGGAAATCATACTTGGGAAATATGCAAATAAATGAGTATTTATTTGTTCCATACAGATCAGATACTTTTAGTACAGGAAAAAAGTATCTAAAGCACTAATGAATCTACAGAATATTTGGCTGTTCAGAAAATACTAAGGCTACAATCCTACACCCACTTACCTGTAAATAAACCCCATTAAACTAGTGGATCTTATTTCTGAGTAGGTATATTATTTCTATTTCTGTGCTCTAAATAAGTCCCTGCCCCCATATGTTCTCACTAATTTATGGGAGGATTTAAAAAAAAAACAGAGGTGGGCTGAAATGGAAGTACATAATAGTTTGATCATAAGAACAGAAGAAAAGCCATGCTTGATCAGACCAATGCTCCATATAGTCCAGCACCCTGTTCACACAGTGGCAAACCAGCTGCCCATAGGATGGCTCAAGTGGGATGGGTACAACTGGTGTACACAGGCATATTGCCTCTGACTAGTTGCCATTGATAGTCTTCTCCTCCATGAATTTGTCCAACCCCCTTTTAAAGCCATCCAAATTGGTGGCCATCACTACTTCCTGTGGCTGTGAATTCCATAGTTTAATTATGAGTTGCATGAAGTACTTCTTTTTTTTCTGTCCTGAATCTCCTACCAATCATCTTCATAGGATGACACAGGTTTAAGTATTACAGATGATCACAGCACATTCTAATTCCGTGAAGGGAGATATTCTTAATAAAACTGCTATGGATGTTTTGATCCTTGTGTGACATACCTATGACACTGAATTAGTTCCCCTCTCGATAATTCTTAGAAAGCTTCTGTTATTCTAATATAATAATATTAACCAACTCTAAAGTATTTTATATAGTTTATAGTTGACTAGTACAAAGTGTTCCAGATAGCTCTGATTTTGAATGAGCAAGTTACCTGTGTGTTCTGTAAGCTGCCCACATTAAAGGAGTCATTCCATTTTGATCCATCATATCTACATCCTGATGAAAAGAGCATGAGTAATTAGAAATGTATATGTACTAAAGCTGAAGAAAGAATATTGAAGCATAAACTTTCAGATGCCTATTCAGAATGGGGGTAAAAGTAAAGTATCTGAACAGTAATTTTAAAATGGTGTCCCAACATTTTTAAATACTGAGTGGAGCTTAAAATTACTGAAATTATCAATTGTAATATGTGCTAGAGCACCATCTGCTGTTAAAACTCTGTGAGTTGCAATTGAACTGCCTTGATTATATTAGGTGAATATTCTATTCAATATGAAGAAAGTTTTGAGTGGCATGAAATAAGCACACTGTCCAGGATTAAAAGAAATGTTCAGCTAGTTCCTTGCACCCAAGAAAACTTTGGACTTCTGTTTCTTCAACAGAAGGCCCTTCTGCCACAAGGCAAACTGCTTTAAAAATGGAGAGAAGCTTGTGATTCAGCAGGGAATCCTCTGTTTGAAAGGCAGGGAAAATGAAAACTCCCTCTCCTTATATACAAGTCTTGGCTAAAAGAGTTTTATAGATCTCAAGCTATGCCTGGAATTCTTCTCCTTAAATTGTACGATTTGTTAGTTTGCATGTACATGCCTCTTAAATTCACATATTCAGAAATAATTCCATGTATCAAGGCACATCAACCTCAATACCATGAAAATTTTCAGGCTTTAGGCAGTTCATTTATTTAAGTTTAAAGGGGAAAAAAACCCATACAAAGAGAATTTGGAATTAGTGGAGAAGAAAAGCCTCTGACTCTTAGAAATTGCAGGAAGGGTTTATGTGGATGAGTCTGTGAGAATTAGAGTTACTGCTTAGAGGGCTAAAAGTGTCTTTTAAGAATTGCTGCCATTTTCCGACAACAAAGCTAGTATTAGCAAAACAAGAACATTTAGTGGATTTTCTCCTTCAGTGTGCGGTTTAGAAACTTTTGAGAAACAAATATTGAGGTGCCTAAAAAAATCTGCTCAAAGTGCAGGTTTCTAGAACTCATGTGCAAATGCAATAAAATCCTTTCATATGCTTATATTGAAACAGCTTGTTATTTGAGCTGCAGGGGGAAAAAGGAATCAATGAAAATAACTTCCCTGCCACTTCTTCCAACAGAGCATCCTGGGACTGGAATTCAGCTCATGGGAAGTCTGGATCAGACCCAAACACTGTACTCATGTATAATGGCAACCTATTATTTTATAAAACAAAAGGTTCTACAGGATGCATGAGTGTATTTTCTGCATGTAGCACAATCTCCTCTTCCATTTTTACCCCACAGCCTACAATCAACTACAATCAAACCAGGCCCATTCTCTCCTGTCCAACAACCATTTTTAAACCAATGGATTGTCATTAAGCTCAAACCAGGTCTATATATTTAAAACATTTTTAAAATCATGTCTGAGTTTTAAGTGCTCCACTTAAGCAGTATTACAAAAGGAACAAGAAGACTAGATTCAAAAGTATAATGGTTTGGGGACACGGAATGGGAACTCTCGCAAAAACATAATTATTCTTTCCATTTGCAAAGATCTGCAAACCCATACTTGAAGAAATGCAGTTTAAGAATGAAACACATTTGATGTTAATTACTTTTGTTTATACAGGAAAACCTGACTTCTTTTAAATAATATTATTATCCAGATAAATGAAGTACTTCAAAACTGCAATGATAAGCACTCATACTTTATGAAACTTGCCTCTGAATAGTAATGTTTAATATTATACTGCTAGTCTATGTAATCTGAGTAAAAGCTCTGAATTCTTACCTGGTATGGTTAGACCTCAAGACATGTCATTTATCTGGATAATAATATAATTGTATAATATATGAATATGCATTTTAGTTATTAATCAAGCAACATGAGAGTTGCAAATACTATCACAATTAAAAGCTACAGAAAGAAAGAAAGGGAGGGAGGGACAGAGACAGACCAACAAACAGAACATACGCACCTGCCCCTTGGCTATTAGATATGCAACAATAGAGGTATGTCCAAACTGTGCCGCTAAGTGAATACAACTGCATCCCTCCCCATCAATTAATGATGGATCTGCACCGTATTTCATTAGCTGTACAACCATAGATAAATGACCTTGTCTAAAATGAAAAGAATATAAAACAGAGAAAGGTTGGTAAGGTAATGAGTTACTAATTTTTTCCATTATTGCACAGATGTATAGAGAAGAAAGGAACCAGAATACGATCAAATTCTTTGCTACATGGCGCAGCCATCTATTTACCCAGCTCTTTGTCCTATGGATTAAGAGCTGGTATTTCAATAATGAGTTTTAGATTATTTAGATCATACCATCTTAGACAGTACACTAATTAATTCACTCTTTAAGGCCAAGCATATTGGAACAGTTAAGATATTACTTTCCCAGTATGCCTATATCTGGCAAGAGTGAAAGCAAGACTCTTTCACTCAGGCTTATGCACTTCCTTTCTGTTTACTTCTGTTCCACCAACTTCATCATTATAGACAAGTACATGCAAACTAAAGGATTTTTCATTGATTTGAATGCAGGATTACCATTTTGTTTACAGTCACTTTAAAAACAGCTCAATATCAAGCATCAAGCCTTCTGACCTTACTACAAAGCAAACTGTTCACCTTTGCTGAAGGAGTATCTATGGCCATGCAATAAGCATACTCAAGCAAACTCAGTAGGAGCTGTCTACTACTGGCTAAGGAGAAATTACCTACCACCCATTAGGGAAAGATGTCAGATACACAAGTAAAATTATCCTTCCACAGAAATGAAAAAAAAAATCAGAATATTTTTGCAAAGAACTAATAATCAATGAGTTCCTCTGAGTTAAAGCTGCAGGTAGACAACATCCAAATCTTTTCCCACCTTGTTGCCCAGTGAAGTGGCGTGGAGTTCAGGTCACCTCCTAGCTGGTCAACAATAGCACCCTTCGATATGTAATACCTGCAGGCACAGAATTGGTATAGGAGAGAGCACTGTAATCAAAAAATGTGAAACATCAAAAGCAGCTGTGGAAATATACCTTTACAGTAATTTAACTACTAGCTTGCCAATTAATGATGGCTTTAACCCTGTGAAATAGTGGTTTAAAGATAAGGAGGAACTCAGTATTTTTAAGTGGCTACACATGTTAAAATACATTTTTATTCAGGCTAATAATGTTTTAAAAGTAAAATAATTAATAAATTAATATATAGCAATTACCTAGTGAAATATGTTTTACATGGGGTTCATGCCATTAGAATTACCTTTTGTCTGTGGGAGGAAAAAACCACACCTCACATAAACATGTCCATGTTCAGTATGAGGAGGACAAGCAGCACCTTACAACATCACAACTACAGGAATGTTCTAAACATTGCAAGTAGTGTAAAGCCACCTTACAAAACCCACCTGCTTGCACAAAGAGGTCATCTTCCATGTCTTCTTGGAAGGGGCCTACCAGTAAGGCAGATTATAACTAGAGAGGGTATGTCTGAAATTGTTCCTCCCAAGACAGAGTGCATATGCATTTTCTTTCTTGTTGCTACAAGGAACAATTGCTACAGGAATTGTCTTTTGGCAACTCCTACCAGCGACTCCTCCTGTGAGTCTGGCATTGCCTTTTGCCCCTGACACAGCATCAGCAAAAGGTACTTGAAAGAAGCTGCTTCTCTAATGCTCAACCAGACATACTATCAAGTGAATGCAATCAGGAACAGGGACATAAGGTGCACATATGCATTTTTAGGGGAAGCCTTTTAATTAAGCAATATATGAATGCCAATCTTTACAGGATACTTTCATTTATACATAAAATGTACAGGCTTTTTGCCACAAATAGTTTACAATAAAATAAACTGAAACACATCATAAAAACAAAAGGTGCTATTTATTAACACCAAAATGATTTATAATTCTGCATTATGTCTGTAATTCTGAATTGTCAGAAATGTACTTTATTTTTGTATTAACGAATTCAAATTTGCTTGATTGTTGTTGTTTTCTAAATGGATACATTGCTTGAATTTATATAAACTTTATTAAATCCTTCTATATAACTATTCTTAAAATTCTGTAAAATGAACACTTATTTCAACATGCAATTACTTAAGTAATGACCTGAAATTCTATCATAAGGCTTTTCCATTTGCTGAGCTAACTCATCTTGAATGTCGGTACTGGACAGATCATACAGATTTTTTATGCTGCTAAAAATGCCCTAAGTAATGATGTGCTGTATTTTTAACATGACACAAAAATTATGAGGTGCAAGAAGCCATTGCTATTAAAATTATATGGCTCTAACAAATGCCATGTTTTAATCTTGCTTTGCTCTTGTTATACAAATTTATCATTTCCATTAACTGTTTTTGGTAATATAGCAGTACTTACTTCACTAAGTCTAATCTGTTGTTTATTGCAGCCCAGTGAAGAAGTGTGACATTTTCTTTATCGGGTTGCCGTACGTCATAACCTGCTTCCACCAACTCTCGACAACGTTCATATATTCCATACCTTGAACAAAAATGGCATTAGGATAGCCAGTAATTTTGCATTAATAACATCAAAAGCACATTTGGATCTTAATGTTTTGTACTACTGTTTCCATTCCAGCTAAAAAAAACAGGATACAGGTTATCTCTACAGAGCAAAATTGCTCCTCACTTCTCAGTTTCTATTTTCCCAGATGGTCCTTCAATGGCAGTGCAGCAAACTGGCATTAATTCATGGCTCACTTTATATTCTCTCAGTCTTTATGTTCTGCTCCACCTAAGCAACATTTTCATAAGCAAATTCATTTCAGCATTTAAGCCAAAGTATTTCCATTGAACAAGGTGAAATTTTTCAATTAGATTATAAAAAGTTGTTTTTCTATCTTGGGAAGACATTAAAAATCTTTCAGTTTTTGAATACTTAAATAACTACATTTCTGTTCCTTAGTCAAGTACATACATACATACATCCACACAGACATACACAATATTCTATAGAACTAAGTCCAGTATGTATAATTAAAATAGTTTCATATTTATGGTTGCCTCCCCACACCCATCCCATTCTATTTTTCTGTATCTGCTGGTAGGAGCAACACCTATAAAACATGCTGATTTTTTCTGGGTTTTGTCATATTCTATGTACAGAAATAGTATTCTGCCTGCATGTATGTCCCTGCATGTGTATATTCCAGAGAAAAAGAAAGTGTGAGAGAAAGCATTTTTTTAAAAATTGTGCATTTCAAGAAAAGTATCCATAAGAGAGTGAGTGAGAAATGCCCTATGTTTCTCAAGTGCAGCTATTCATTGGAAGAGGAGCAGGGATACTTCAAAGAATTAAAGAATTAAAAGGGCAAATAAGTTATCCACCAGATACACCATTCTTTAAACACCCTATTTTGTTATATAAAAGTCTTGAATGATACCACACTGCATCCTCAATTCAGACAACTGTTTTTAAACCTTTCTTACACATCCGAATGCTAAACTGAGGTTTACCTTGCATAGCTAAGGCATGAAAGATAGAATCAGTGATTTAATCTGAATTATATTGGAGCTGTCGACATGACATGACACAGCTTGTTCAGAATGAGCCACCTGTAGCTGCCACCCTAAATATTCAATCCCTTTTGAAGGATTAGTATGTCATGATCCTAAATTCTCAACATGTGCTACTTTGCAACCCATTTAAATCTGAACACCATCATGACTACAGGAATAAAGCGAAGTTTCCTTCTGATGCCCTAACGCTAAACAAATTTACTTTAAAAAAAAGCACCATCACATTCTAGAAAATAAGATATTGCTCAAATAAAAATAAGAAAATTATAATCTATAACCATGTACAGGCCTAGCCAGCCTCCACAATACTACATGTTTAAGCAAAAAAGAAGAAGAAGGATGCTTCAGCAACCAACATAATAATCAGTAAGATCTGGCATGCCCCTGCTGGACCAAGTGCTATGCAGAGCCTATTTGCCACTGTCTCATCATCTACTGCTTTCTGGCTCATCATATGGAGGTAGAGGCCAGGATGGGGGGTCCCGGATGTCCATAACTGAGTTTTAACACTAGCTGCATCACTGCTTGTACATTTGGTTTGGCAGTGGGGGTAGTTTCACCTGTATGTGTTTGTTCTGAAGGGTGGTTTTGCTTATGTGCTTACTTAAGGAGGGATAGAGGATACCTGAGCACCAAAATTTTTTCTTCTATGAAATATCACTCTACATATTATGGGAACTAATACATGGATTGGTATTTGAAGCTCAAACTCTACCATATCCTTAATTTCTTGAAAAGCTACTTGTTCTTAGTAACTAGGCAGGCCCTCCAGCAGCCATTCTGTAGTCACGGTCAGTTTCTTGTGACAAGCTCCAAAAGCATGGAGAATGCTGATCTATGTAATCACTTGTGCCTCACTAGAAAAGGAAGGGGCAGGAGAAAGCTAGCACTCAGAATTGCAATACTCTTGCTAATTTTAGGTAGAGCAGTAGATGGCGCTCATTTTCCTATTTCTCTGGAATAGAAAAGAGATTTTCTCTGTTGCCCTAAGGGAAAACAGCAGCTCCATTTATTATTCCCTGAAAGCTGGATATTATCTACAGAAACGTAAAGTAAAGGGACAATATTCATTCTGTGTCAGCCTACTTACCTTCCCGATTATCCCATTTAAACTGTTTGTAAGATGCACGCTTTTATTCTAATATCACAACTAAGGGGAAAATTGTGTACATTCTGCATGCGCATGATTCCACTAAATAAAATCCAATACCAGGCACAGAATATTTTGGTCTGTTAAGGAAGAGGCAAATAGGGGAAGCAAGGTTTCAGCACAAGCTCCCCTAATCCTAGCACTCACTGAATGTCAATGTCCTGGACTGTATTTTATGCCTCTTTCATAACCATTTCTTTTAGTTCTTCCAAAAATTTCATATATTGCTTATGGGCACAAGCAATGAATTATAGACCCAAAACATAAGAAATGAACCAATTAGGAATTAAGCAGGTGTAACTTATTACCCTTTGTTTGCTAAGAATAGCAGAGTTTTTAGTCTTTTCAAGAATTTTGACATCCCACTTAAAATAATAAGCATGTTATAGAATCATAAATCTTTCTTTGATAAGAAGGAAGCAGTGAGAAGTAAACCTTACTGGTTATGGAACTTAAGAACTTCATTTCTCTCTTCGCCATTCTGATACAATTTCCTAGTCTTTTGTGTTTGCCCACTTAGACCATTCCCTAAAATTAACTGAAGAAGATTCCCATTGACTGGTTTCACAAAACACAGCAACCCAACACAGGTAACTAGCCATGGTGTGTTGACATAGATAAGCTGAGCCCAGACTGCTTTGCTACACAAACAAGCTAAGCTGACAATCATTGGAATACATGGTTGTGTCATGTGAAACCAGGTGACCTATCCCACTGTGAGTACAGGGTAGCAGAGGTAAGCCACTCAGCAAGACCAGCAGAAACACATCTTTGTGAACCTCAACTGGGCCACCACCAGTGACAGCCACTCTACCAAGCAGCACTTTGGAGCACCCATCACTGACATGGTTTCCACTGCACTGACCACAAGCCTTTTGAAAACGCTGCAGTCTTCACCCTGGCTTTCCTCCCAAAGATTACTTTTTGTGACTTCCAAAATGACATGACAGCAAAATTGGAAAAATCTGCACAAAATTTTGGTTCATTTTTTGAATTCTCTATTTTCAGAGTTACATAGGAGTGTAACTCCAACTGTCCACAGCCTTATTTTGTTAATCCCATGGATGGTCTTCATCAAAAACCATCCTTGACCCTGATAAAGCAAGACTACACATAGGTGATTTTGTTTCTCATTTGCCAACTGTCAAATGGTGAGCTATGAGAGGATCTCTGCTGGCAAGAGGTGGTGTTGTGCGTATCATCTACTTCTCAGAAAGATCCTCTAGTGTTTTTTGCACTGAACATGACCCCTCACCTTCCCCATCAGCTCTAACTACTCAGAAAAGGGGGAAAGTGTGAACCACCCCATTTACATGAACACAATTTTCTAACAGCTGTCAAAACTCAGACTGCCTTTTAAAATGACTAGCCTTGTCAATTGTACCATGGGGTCTTTCATCAGCAAACCTGTGTTATACAAATTCACCCATTATCTCTTCATACCCTTATGAAAAGTCAACTAAAGGTAACATTATATTAAAAGTCAGGGTTTACTATTTAGAAATTAGTATCTTTCATTCTATCAAAAATGTAAACATGAATTCGTAATTCCAGTTTGCAATGTTGGTTTTCTGAGAGACCAAAAAATAACTCCTTATCTAGAAGAAGCAGAATACTTGCAACATTCCTATAATCTTAATAAAGTAAAGGAAGGAAAACAGTGATGGTAGGAGGTAGACTGGTGTTATACTTAATACCAATAATGCCAGCACTGACTCTTTTAAATCTTCATGAATGTAAAATCATTTAAAATCATCATTTTAAAGTTACTATCACAGTAACAAAAGCAAATATATCAAGGTTTCTAGACTTTACACCACAATTTCATCTAAAAAAGAATCTCCCCAAACATTGCTGTTTACATACATAATGAACAGCACTGGCCTTGAAAACAGATGAAAATTTGATTGCTTGTGGCCACTAAAAGAAAAAGAAAGGAAAGCAATGGCTTACCTACTTAACAGAGTTGTAGTTGTGAGGATAAAATGGAGCTATGTAAGCCACCTTGGGTTCCTCACAAGAGGAAGAAAAGGCAGGATATAAATGCAATGTCATACTAACAACAACAAGAACAGCTCTCTTATTGTGGCTGCATTCTTTGTCTTCCCTTTATCTCCTGGCAATGTAAACAGACCCAGTTTATATATCATACTAATAGCATGGCTCTTGCCTTAATCAAAGTCATTAAGGATGGCTCGCTGCATGGGCAGCTGTTTCTATCAACAGATATGATTCAGGATAATTATCATTATATCTGAAAAATGGGAGAAGACAGATAACGAGCTGAGAGCCAAAACCTTCATGCTCTACTGGGTTTCCATGGTGTAGTGCTATGGCAGGCGCTCATTCAAGCCTCCATTCTGCTTCTGGGTTAAGCAAGAGTTAAATTAGAACAACATGGAAACACAGCAAACTGTTCTTACTGCTGCATTCCTACAGTTAAGGAGCAGGAGTAGCAGAGCACAAGCAGTGCAGGGAATGAGTATAGTATCATTCAAAATCTCTCAGTATCACATATATCCCCTTAATTCTGTGATTTTATTTTATATCCAGATTCTGAAGTTACCAGTATATAAGTAAAACTGAATTATGTTTTTATAATCCCTTTTCCCTAAAAGATATTTTTGAGAATGATCTGGCCAGAATTACTGTTGTGTTCCTCAAAATCTTTATGCAACTGGAACATGTTTTCAGATGAGTGTTTTCCACATGGTTCTAACACAAACTAATATGGATGTCAAATAAATCCACTTACTGTGTAGCTTTGACAATATCCCATGTGCTATAATCATCAATGTGGCTTTTACGCCCAAGAGATTCACTGTATCCATGGTTATAATGACCTTGAGGCTTGATTTCCTACAAAAAGAAGTTTTGTTAGGCTATTAGATTGAAGTTTCTATTATGAAAGAATTTAAGAAAAGCCTTGCTTGATCAAAACATTAGTCCATCTAATCCAGGATCACATTTCCCAAAATGGCCAAACACATGCCTCTAGGAAGCCCATAAACAGATATGACAGCAACAACCCTCTCCCACTATTGATTCCAGCAACTAGCATTCAGAGACATATTACTTTTAAACTACAAGGATACATGCATTCATTATGACTACTAGCCATTGACTTTTTAAATTTTAAAACTAGGAAACAGCTGTTTTAATGTAGTTGAATTATTTCAGCTATTCCAAATTTATTTAGTGTCTTTTTCCAATTTCGGGCATCCCTTTTTTAAAAGCTTGTGGTAATAATAACATCTTGTGGTATTTTTATTATTATTATTATCTATACCACCAACAGGTGAAGCTGTTTGGGCGGGTCACAATTTATCAAAGAGTAATAATAAGCATCAATGCAATAAAACACAGTGTAAAATTCCAACATACAAAATGTAAAAAAAAGCATAAACACCTAAAACAATTTCAGTAAAAGCTAGAACTGATTAAAACAACTGACAGAGAAGCGGGTTAGAGAGAAAGGGAGAATATATATAAAACAATCTGCAAGTAATGACAACTGACAGGAAATAGTTTTAGAGTTTATAGCATAACTAGGTGCTAAGAAAAAAATTTGAGTGAAACAAGTGATACTATTTTAAAACATCTATTATCATAAGGAAAGGAACAGTTAAGTGAGAGACAAAGAATTCCTTTGCACTGCACCAAAGCTTTCTAACTTCTAAGCTCCCTTTATCAAAAAAGTCCCTTCAGCAAATTGGAAGCAATAAACAATGCCAGTTATAATTTCACAAGGCAAATATATAGAACATTCCAAAGCATTTTATTAACCATTCCTAACTGAAAGAAAACTTTGAACAATACACTGGGGCAATGCATACCTACAATGGAGACTAGTGGCAACTAACAATTCCCCTATATACTTGCTTCAATGATAAGTCAACTTCGGGTGCTGCTAAGTAGCATAGAAAGGTGGCTGGCAGTTCAAATATTTAGCAAGAAGCTCACAGTTTGAAAACCTGTCACAGAAAATAACCAGCTTTTCAGAGGGACTCATCCATCTAAAGTCTAGTAACGAATACCCACATTCAGCTGAGAGATTTTTCAAATGGTCAGTGAGCACATCTTTATTTATTTTATAAACAACCCTTGAATCCATCTCCTAAGGCAGTAATGGTGAACCTTTTAGAGACCAAGTGCCCAAACTACAACCCAAAGTCCACTTATTTATCACAAAGTGCCAACATTACAATAAAACCTGAAAACTGATGTTTTAGTTTAGAAAAAACAACTTACAACCAGTCCAAGCAAATATATATATATATATATATATATATATAGGCAGTGCACTGACCAGCCATGTGAAAGCTCAGACAAATCATAGTTAATGAGTCACGGCATGTGACGTCATCGCTGGTGCCACTACTCCTTTCTGAGCATGCGCATGTCCCCTATGTGCGCTGTTATCCAATGCTCTGCTGCTGGGGCGATGCTGTGGTGACATGGCTTGCATGCTGACAGAGGGCTGTGTGTGCCCTCTGTGGCATGCGTGCCATAGGTTCACCACCACTGGCCTAACCCTGCCCTGGTGCACACCCCTAACCCTAATATAGGGCTAAAGGTCCACTGAAAAGAGGACGATTTTGAAAAAGCCTTTCTTAAGTAGCTTTTTCTGCATAGCTCATCATTTCTGCCCATTCTAAACACATTCCAACCATCAAAATCATGCCAGGACACCTCCTTTTTCTAACCCTAACCCTGTGATGGTGAACCTTTTAGAGATTGAGTGCCCAAATTGCAGCCCAAAACTCACTTATTTATCGCGAAGTGCCAACACTGCAATAAAACCTGAAAACAGCCAGTCCGAGCAAATATACATGTATATCCTTGGCAGCGCACTGACCAGCCTTGCAAAAGCTTGAATGAGTCATGGCTAATGTGTCTCAGCTTGTGACTTCATCACCGGACACCACCACTCCTTTCCAAGCATGCACATGGCCCCTATGTGCGCTGTTATCCAATGCTCAGCTGCTAGGGCAATGCTGAGGTGACTTGTCTCGCGTGCCAACAGAGAGGGCTCTGCATGCCCACTGTGGCGTGCATGTCACAGGTATGCCACCACTGTCCCTGGAAATAGCAAACCAACAGTATTATATTCTGCCTTCCTCCCCATGGTATTCAGGGCTTACCAGAGCACCAAGGATCATAACCCTAACCCTAACTTAGAATTTGTGCTTTTCCTGATTTTTATCAAAATATTTCATGAAGGACTGTACCATTTATTTGGAGATATGATGTATACATTTTAAATGAATAACTATGACTATGGTAAAGAGAATAAGCTTTGTTCTAGGAGCACAAACTTTGCACAGAGGAGAAAATATGTTATATCTTCAAGCTGTTCTCTTTACCACAGCAACAAAGGTGTAAGAGGTTGCCCTTATGATACTTCTCAGCTGCTTCCTCACAAGCTGATCTTTCATGGTGCATGGAGAAGGGAGACAGAGGGGCTAGCACATGTAATTTTTGTCCTCTCCTCCTTTGCTTCAAGTATTTAAAAAGCACATTACCTTCTAAGGATTTCATTGTCTAATATGGATGATGATAGTGATGAAGATTCATTCCAATATATATACATTTAAAGTCTGTCAGTTTCAAAAGAAACCCAAGTATTTAAAACCTTACAAAATAAAATGCAAAAATAAAGCATTGTAAGTTACTAGAATAATATCTAGCTAGCATTATGCACTTATATCTAGTGTAGGCAAACCTCAACAGTCAACACATAACCTTGGACACACAAGTATCTAGTCATGGATAAACAACTGCAAAGGTCATCCTACTCTTTGAGCAAAGTCAGATGCCCATCTGAACCCCCAAAAAGTATCCTTCAGAGGAAACCAGAATCCAACTTGAAACCGTCTAAATTCCTGTTCTTCTGAGAATACAGAACCACAATTTTTGAAGTCTCTTTGGGGAGGCAATCACTATTGATATACAAATATGACATAGAGATCTACAATCAGGATCCCCTTGCCTGGAAGATGGGGGATCATATGTAGTCTTTTAATACTTTCCTAGATAGAAGCACACTTCAGACTTCCCTGAGACACAAAGTGGGGAGGGAGAATATTATTTTGCCCACCCTATCATTCTGAATCCTGGCTATAATAAATATTGGCTAGAATCCAAGTAGTTCTACATACATGAGATTTTGAATTTTTATTTGTTGAATACACCTCTTGTCACATGGCAAGCCTCTTCTGATACTTAGGGGACTCTGTAAAGCAATTCAGATATGACATGGGATTTGCCATATTCAAATAGTCAAGAATCCCTTTATGCACACCTAAATTTGTAGACTCAAAAGAACCTCTGAGGATCTTCCCAATCAATTCATTTTTATTAAGGAGAAATGTGCACCAGAAATCTAGCTAACAATAAACCCCACCATAAACATCACCAAACATTAAATGTTCTGTAAGAAGCCCCCAACCCTCAAAAGGCCTTATAATTCAATTTATACTAGAAATAATAAAAGCTATTTATACTTTGTGAAGAGCACCCAGATCAAAGTTCTATTATACAAGTGCGGGGGAAGGGGGGTTAACATTTTGTTTTCTTGGAAAAGGATTCTGCAAAACTCTCACAACAAAAATTGGAGAACCACAATATATGAAAAGAGTTTTGTCAAAGAGCAGCAAATTTTATTTTTTTCCAAACATTTGAAAATAATTCTCACAGACTAAATGAAAACAATGGGGAGATTTTATTCAGCAACTAACTGATTAATCCTGCACATTCTCCACCATATTTATGCAGTTTTTATATAACAAAGGGATGGACAGATGCATGACTACAGCCTTTAATCCAAACCCTGCCTCTGAAGGACAGAAAAATCATGTGATTTCTTGCACAGCTGGCATGGAGTAAGTCATCGCTTATCCCACCCCCCTCCCACCGCCTGCAAAAGAGGGAGAAATGGACCACTTTGATTAGTTGGGTTTTATTCATTCCAACTGAAATACTCATGCATTAACATTTCTATTGACTTCATTAGCCTTTACGTTCTATTATTTGTATCAATCTAAGTTACAGAATTTATTCATTTTAATATTACTGATCATTACCAATGTATCATTACCACATAGTATATAAAAGAATCAGAAAACTACAATGCTACTTCTATAATTATAAACAATCATAAATGATATCAAGCAATATCACTTCAACAGCAGATGGATTTGTTGCAATTCTGAAACCAAATTTGTTAGTGGACCATAGTTTTCACTAGTCATATATAATAAATGTTGTTGGCATATATAACTAAAGCACTGGGCATAATTCACCACAAGGTAAAAATGCACAAATCTTGTTTGATATTTAATATTTTTAGAAAAAAATTCTAATGTAGTCATCCCAATACTGAACAATATCACACAATATGAAGCACAGTACTTTCAAATTTGTTGAAATGTGGCCAACTTTCCTATGTCATATTGGCAAAGGAAATACTTGCTTCAATTTCCTTTGAACCACGTAGACACAGAATGACATTTGACAACATGCTCTCTTACTTTATCTTGGTCTGCATCTGTAATGTAAGGACAGAAATACCAGTTTCTTACACACTGTGGTGCGCAAAGTGTTTCGCACTGTCTGGAAAAAGTAACATATTACAATTATCTTTCAATTAACGTCAGTTTCATTCCCCATCATACAGCAGTCAATCAATCCTCATTCCTTAAGCTGTTTGTGAGACAAGACTGACACCTGAGCTGGGTTCACACAAAATGACAAGCAGCCCCCTGCATGGTTACCATGGTTTTAAGAAAGGCTGAAATATTAATCAATCAATAAGCACAACTAATGACTTAAATTTCTGTGACTCAGTTAATCAGAAA